GAGCGGGGCGTAGGTGATGCTGATGGTCTCCTTGAACGTAAAAGGTTGGCAGGCGTAATAATGAAAGCTGATAGATACTTGCTGATGATTCAGCAACGGATAAGTCCAGCGCTACGAGTCACGTGGAATCGCGCAAGCAGCAACGCTATAAAAAAAATTTGTCGCTGTATATATAGCTCTCGAGGTTGTTCGTCGAAAAAAGACAAACGCTGGAATAGGCGCTATCCTTTCAATGAATATTGTATTTGCCGTGACGTATCCGTAAGCATTAGATATCCTCTTGCAACATGCAAAGTGCTCTATATTGTTTTGACTTTCATGCATGCTGTAGTTTAATATGCGAGCTGCAACGCTCAAACAGATGCAGTCTTAATATTATTTTTAAGTATCATCTACAACACTTCTACTAAAAAATAATGTCTAATTATTAAAAATAAAAAAGGAGCGCTAATTATCTAATTATCCCAATCTTTTTGCTAATTAAATTAATACTAAGGCCACCTTCTAAACATCATCGTAATTTGATTGGTCAGAATGTTTTGCACCCCCTATTTATACAAGTATTGATTCGTCGATACAAATAAGAACTTTTATTTTCATTATAATACAATGAACAGCCTATATACCACATCCCTTGAACAAGCGAGAGCCGTGCTCAACATGCCTATACACATCAGGAACTTTATGTTGTTCCAATTCAACGCACAAGAAGGATAGGCAATAAGAAAGACGGTGACGCCAAAGCTCTAATATTTTGTCTCATCCCGATTAACCCCCCCCCCCCCCCGCCATTCGAACATGACCTCGACAGCGTATGTCGTCCAGCCATAGCACTGAATGCTTGTTCAAGGCAAGTATATGGTGACTAAAAGCTGGAGATTGGAAGGTATAACTGCCAGTAAAGAACACAACCACGACTCTTTCATCTACAAGGCTGTACTTTCACAAGGGCGATCTGACATTCCAGTTGGTATGACATACAGTTTATAAAATGAAATAGTTAAATGTATCTGACATGCCACAGTTGACAAGTCATGACAGCACGTTAGGATAAGCACAATAGGACTAATAAATGTCTAATCAATTCACTCTCATTTTTACCTACATGACACACCCGTGGCTTGCAGAGGGGTGATCAGTCCGAAAGCCTTGCTTGAGGGGGTTTGCGGAGTCAAAGGTAAAATTGAGAATGTGTATTTGTTGGGGGGTTATATGGTAGGCTAGACTAACCCAACTAATAAAAGTACTTGCGCAATCATCTTGGTCATCGTCTTGGTCATCGTCTTGGTCATCTTCTTAGTCATCGTCTTGGTCATCGTCTTGGTCATCGTCTTTGTCATCATCTTGGTCATCATCTTGGTCATCATCTTGGTCATCATCTTCTGTTCTCGCAGGTCATTAACCATACCACATGTGTCATACTCCCCTAATGATCTGTGAGAATTAGCATGGAATAATGCGGCGGATACTCACACGCTCGATCGCTTTTTCCTTGTCTATCGTGACAGTTCCGTTGTCATAAACTGCACGTATTATAATCGGTCCTTGTGCCACGGCGTGAAGCTTCGCACGAAATTGTTTGGGAATCCGCAGCATCACGTGATCGCCTGCATTGTAAAATGCTCGAGGCGTTTGCTGTTTTCGCGTTCGTTGTCAGCGAGGATTGCATCAAAACGGCGCTTGGATAGGTAGCTCCAGTTAGCATTGTAAAGCTGGCGAGTGATCATGTCTTGTTCGAAGAGAAGCTGACCTGGCGAAGCATTGAGTCTGCTGTGGTAGCTGGCTCTCACGGCGAACGCAGCGTAGTGTATGGTCTTCTTCCAGTCAACTCCATCGTAGCAACGGATGACATTCAAAATCTCCAAATGCACGCGATCACATATCGCATTTGCTTGTGGGTTCTTGCTTGTGATGAGCTTGGACTGAATTTCGTAGCTGCGTAGCATCTCCTGAAACTCTTCACCAGTAAACTCCGTTCCTTGGTCATGAATGACTTTTACTGGACGCGGGTATCTGCATAGCCATTCACGATCGAAGCTCTCGGCTGTGGTCAAAGAACTTATATTAGGCTGGATACCCACTTCCAGCCAACGCGTAGCGTGATCGACCATTGTGATGCCATAATATCCATCTTCGTATGGACCAATTAAATCAACATGAACTGTGTCGAAAGGGTTCACTGTCTTGAGTGTCCGAGGAGGCAATAATCCGTAGTCTTGCTTGCCTCCATGTACATTGGCCTTCTTGCAAACGAGGCAATTCTTCGTCTCCTTGTTTATAGCGGCTTCCATGCCGGGCCATTAAAGCACCTGTCTCATCGTCTTGTACTGGCGTTCATTTCCCGGGTGACTGAGAGTCAAATGGTACCAATTAATTAGGTCATCGCGCAGGCTGTCGGGTACAATGACGCGCTTTTGGTACGCAACCAGTGTGCAGCCGAGCAGCGGTAGGAGCTGGTAGTCGGGGTTGTTGTTGCCTTTACGGCAGGAAATCTTGATCTTCTGGATCATGGCGTCTTTATCTTGGTGCTCTCGTAGTACAGGATGATGCATGACACAGTCTGGCTCCACCGTCGTCGAACAAACCTCCTCCGCAAGCTACAACTTAGACTTTGTCTCTAAGTTGTCAAATCGCATTCGCGAAAAAGCGTCAGCACCAACATTTTTGGCCCCCTTGATGTAGTGCATCGAAAGGCGGTACTCTGAGAGGAGAAGCTTTCAGCACTTGACTCGCAGGCTGGTTTTGGTAGGATATATGAGGTTCTTGTGGTTGGTGTGAACGACCACAGGAAAACCGAGCAACATGGTGCGGTATTCGCGCAAAATTTCCACGATCGAAAGAAGCTCGAGTTCCTTAGTAGTGTAATTCACTTGGTGCTTGTTCATACTTCGCGAGTAGCATGCAAGGATCTGATTTTTTGCATTATGATGCCGCCGATCTGCTTACCGCTATCGTCGGCATAAACGTGAAATGGCTGCTCGAAATCGAGAAACGCGAGCAGGACCGCTTGTGCAAACGCTTTCTGAACAGCGTGAAACGCTTCCGTGTCACTGGGTAGCCATTCGAACGGGACTTTAGCGTTGGTGAAGCGGTTAAATGGCTGACATAATGTCGTCTTGTTCGGTACCATGTCCCTGTAGTAATTAATCATCCCGAGGAGCGGCGTAGTTCCTTTCTGGTCTTAGGTACGGCGATCTGTTGGATTGCTTGAATCTTCGTCTGCTGGGGCTGAATCCCCTCGGATGTAAGCGTGAAGCCAATATAGTCAACAGACTCGCGACCAATGTGGCATTTCTTGCCTTTAAGCGTCACATCATATTTCTTCAGACGCTTGAACACGATACCCAGGTGCTTGAGGTGAGTCTTTTCGCTACTAGAGTAAACGAGAATATCGTCCAGATAAACGACGACAAAATCCAGGTCACCAAATATCTTTTCCATGCACGCTTAATATTCTTCCGGCGCCGTAAAAATTCCCATTGGGAGCCGCTTGTACTGGAACTTCCCGAAAGGTAAGCAGAAGGCAGTGTAATTACGGCTTGACGTAGCGAGACGACGCGCGTAGTACCCTATGTTTGCATCCAACACTCCGCTCCCGAGAGACGTAATAAAATCTCTCGAATACGTGGGACGTAGTATGGGCTGCGCTGCAAAAATCAGTTGATCCCACGAAAGTCAATCAGTAGACGAAGTGAGCCGTTGTGTTTCTTCAGAAAAAAAGCTGGCGATGCCAATTCCGAATCGTAGATCTTTTCCGGCACGTCGATGCTAATTAAATGCTGAATTAGCTCTCGCGCCTTTCCTTCGAGGCTACGTGGGACAGGATATGGCTTGGCGTGAACGGGGATGTAGTCAGGTGAGATAGGCAAGATGTAATCTTCGAATCTCATCATTCCCAAGTTACCATCGTACAAGTTCTCGTTATCACGAAGAAGCTGATGATATTCGTCGACGAGAGATTTGGGTAGTGTGTCGGGCATGAGCTCTTCTAATTGAACTGCACTTTCAGCAATTTCTTTGCTATCTTCGAGAAATTCGTAATCGCTCACCTCGAAAGAGTGTGACCCACCGGTATTTAGGTGCGCGTAGTGGACATCCCACTGAATAACCATTTTTTTGAAATCAAGCACAATGCCCAATGACGTCATGATGTCCCGACCAATCACATTAGCATCTTGATTCTTCTCCAGAATCTCGAACCTGTGAGTGATGATGGCTGAAGGCTTGAGGGATACAAATCGAAACTGAACGACTGCACTGCCATCACTCGTCACCTCGCCATTTACCGTCTAAAACTTGGTCGACGGTGCGACTTGTTTTCGTCCAAGATGGACATTGGCCTGCATTGTCTTCTGGTTGATGATGCTCATTGATGCACCACTGTCTAGTAGCGCATCAAAGATGCCGTTTGCGTTCTTGAGCTGAACCTTGATGCGTAACGGATCGAGCTTAGTGCTGGTATGCTTCTTGGCGACCAGACCAACTAGCTTAATCTCGCTTTTGCTGTCGCTGTCACTGTCACTTGCCTCCTCTTCAAATCTGGGATAATTGTTCTTTTTCAAGACTGTTGTCTGTATCTCAGCTGGCTTGTGCTCCTCGCGCTGCTTTTTGAGGGTGAAGCGCTCGCTGGAGTTGTGAGACTTTGCTTTGTGGAACTTACACCACATAACAGTATCATCATGGCGGTCGTTTTGTTTTTTGTTGTCTGTCACAGTCCGTCTGTAAGGACGATTCTCGTGTAAGTTATGATGTCCGCGCTGGTTGCTACGATCTCTGCGGTCATTGCGGTCGTTGAACGGGCGTTGGTGGTCACGCCGACCTTGACCCCTTTCACCATTAATTCCTTGACCATTCTGGCGCTCCCGGCCATTCTGTCTTTCGCGCCTTTCGAGTCGCTCAAAGTACATCGCGAGCTCTGTTATGGTTTCGTAGGAGATTCCACAAAATGCAAGCTTGTCTTGCCAGTTTGGAGGCATAGCTCGGCAAAAGTAGCGACAGAGTTAATTCTCCAAAATTGTTTGCGCATCCTGCGGCAACTTGGCGTACATTTGAGCAGGCTCTCGCAGACGTGCCGAGCAGCGTTGAACTGTTTCGTCTCAGCGCTTGGTCAGGGTCCATAGCTCCTCATCTAGGTCTTCACTGTAGTCTGCAGGAACCAGGAGTAATTCGACCTCACGGTAGAAGTCTTCAAACGTATGTCCTTTCTCGGAAGATTCGCTGGCGATGCGCTCGACCTCGCGCAATAGATCTACGTCGATCAGCGTGAGCAGTTGAACGGTGAGTTGGTCAGCACCCCAGCCTTTTCTTTTCGCGAGGCTCTTGAACTTCATGCTCCATTTGAGCCAGTCCTTCGCGGATCCTCCGCGAAATCATTTAATTTTCAGCTTGGCGATGTCAGCTGGTGCGGTCGCGCTTTCTTGACACGTCACGATCGTGTACGTGACGTACTCATCTTCATCGTTTCATCCCATGTTGAAGGCGACGGGTTTCTCGATCTTGATTGGCCAAATTTGATATATCAAAATGACACACCCGTGGCTTGCAGAGGGGTGATCAGTCCGCAAGCCTTGCTTGAGGGGGTTTGCGGAGTCAAAGGTAGAATTGAGAATGTGTATTTGTTGGGGGGTTATATGGTAGGCTAGACTAACCCAACAAATAAAAGTACTTGCGCAATCATCTTGGTCATCGTCTTGGTCATCGTCTTGGTCATCTTCTTGGTCATCGTCTTGGTCATCGTCTTGGTCATCGTCTTTGTCATCATCTTGGTCATCATCTTGGTCATCATCTTGGTCATCATCTTGGTCATCATCTTCTGTTCTCGCAGGTCATTAACCATACCACCTGTGTCATACATCTCCAGAAGCCTCTCCAGCAAGCTCCCAGAGCCGATAGCCCCTCTGCCACCCAAGATATGGCCTAAGCTGTACCAGTTGCCGGTGTTCGCATATATATATGCAAGTTCAGACAAGTGGCCGGCCATTAAATCAGCCCAGCGACTTCTATCACAGTCTTTGAGCATGTTACTGCTGCATTGAAAGCTCCTGTGCGACGTCAACAATGTTAGATTCATTAACAGACAGTCCACAATGCCAGAGCTTGTCATCTTCAAGCACCTTTTAAGCATCAGCACCAGCAGTATCAGCATCAGCACCTGCAGTATCGATGTAAGCGCACGAGATTAAAAAGTCCAAAATTGATAAAAAAACAGTGACGTTTAGAGTATTTTTTGGAATTTCAGTAAGAATTTCCCGTTTGATATTTTGACCAATTAGATATCGATAAATTTAGGAAGGTTAAGTGCGAAATAATTAGTGCTAAAGAGCCGAATTGCTATGACATGTGGTTACTACGTACTCTTTTAAGTGCAGCGTCCGCTATCTTGTCATGCGGTACCTTGAACTCGTCGACCATTTGGTGAGCTAAGTCAACCAGATTCTGCCGACGTTAGAAAGCTGAAGACATAGATAATATGTAGACTATTAATTGTGCTTATCACTGCTCGAATTAAACCAAAGGGTCTTTGTTTGTAGTGCATTTTTGTATCACAAGAGAGCCATCTCCAGGTCACTAAACAATACTCTTTTAGCTCGTACTTTGCCCGCGACAGTCTTTACGCCTTCGCCACCTCAATGATGATCTTGCCCTTTGCGCGTTGTGACATACAAATTTTCATGGCCTCCACCAAGTTCTCTAGCGGATGCACCGAGTCAATGATTGTCTTCACCTGGCCAGCTTCAATAAGCTTCGTGAGCTCCAGGAGATATTCCGTGCACGGCGCGTTAAAAATCTGATGCACTGTCGCACCGATGGGCGACTCAATCGGCTGGTCGATCGTACCAATAGTCACGAAGATACCGGTCTGCTTCTTGAGCACCTTCTGCGCCGCGTCATTCCACGACTGGGACTCCACGCCACAGTCGTAGATAAGGTCAATGGAGTGATGAGCCACCACGTCACTCCACTTCTCCTTCGTATAGTCCACAATCTGGTCGGCACCCAAAGACTTGACCAGTTTTACATTGCGGTGACTGCACGTCGTGATGACCTCTGCTCCAAGAGCTTTGGCTATCTGGATGCCAAATAGACCCGTGCCGCTGCTGCCACCGAGGATCAGTACGCGCTGAGCTTTCTGTAGCTTGCCATACGTCACGAGTCCCTGCCAACTCGTCTGGCCGGCCAAAGGTACACCAGCCGCCTCGTTAAACGTCATGTTGCTGGGCTTAGGCGCCACGCGCTTCGTGTCGACGTTAATGTATTCAGCAAAGGTGCCGGTCGCGTCAAACAACGGCATAGCGTACACTTCGTCGCCTACTTTATAGTCTTTAACGTTATTGCCGACCTCCACTACCTTGCCCGATAGGTCGTGACCTACTCGGTACGGATGCTCTGGCGAAGCCATAGTAGAAAGGATCATAGATGCGTATAGCCCGATCTTGTAGTCGATTGGGTTGAGCGACGCGCTAATAACCTTAATTTTGACCTCATTAGGCTGCACAGGCTTTTGTTCTGCGGCTTGATTGAGTTGAATCTCCTCGAGAAAGTCACCGAAGTGCTGGTACTCGTAGGCTTTGAAGGTTAAAGGGATGGCAGTCATTAGAATAGATTGACTAGATGATATTAACTAGGAAGTATTTGTAAAAATAGGGTCTCGGATACGAATCTTTTCTGCATCAAGTTTGGGGCGTATCGCTTACATACAATTTTGAAGCCATTTGCCAAATAGGTTCAGATATATATGAAATGGGTGATCATCTTATTGGAAATCCACGAAACGCGGTCTCTAATTGGTAAGGTACACAAATGAAATGTAATTAATCGAGCAGCTGGCCGAGCCTGAAAAAGGAATATCATGGATGGCTTGCTTCGTCTGCGTAACCACGCTCTGAATTCAGCGGAACAGGAGTATTCAGAAGCAGGAAAGTGCGTCTATGGTGCAAGAGGTAGCGGAAGTCAAACAAGTTCATTTTCGTCAACTCTGAATGGTCGCTGTCAAGAAAGCAGTTGCAAGAGAGGGATGTAAGCAATGACGCTCACCTCCGTCTAGCAATGATAATATTCAAGACACCATCGTTAACCGATAGCCGAAACTGCTCAGCCCTCGTAACTGATAGGAGACATCTCCTTGGGTCAAAGGACTTTTCAGAAATCTTGTAACACATAACGGTCAATAGACAGTATCACCAAAGTCGTCGATTCAAGTTGTAGCTCGTAAAACCGTCATGCTCTTTCTGCAATTGTAGACGATCGTTTTTTTCCAATTCGCACACTAACTTGACGACTAGATTGAACGATAATACATTCTAATCGCATTAACGTCACTGTCCTAGAGCTACTTTGTAGTTAGATCAGATCGTCTGCAGTTGCTAGCAGCTGAAGCAATTCCCTTATACACACACAATCACCTCGCTATGTTGAAGAAGAAAGTCGAAATCCTGCTTGACCAGATAACGCGTATCTGTGGTGGATGCATTCTTGTTCAGTCTTTTGTAATGTAGCTGAGAAGAAGGATGCAGTTACTTGGAGCTCCGAAAAGCACACCCTTGCTAGCTATAAGGTGCTGTGTAATCCCGTCACAATTAATTGCACCTGTTGCCAATTTTACACCTACGCGGTAGATAAGTGCCTAATCCTGTGTGTCCTTTATAAGTACGCAAGATGCATCAAAGAGAACAATTCTAATTATTGTTGTCCATTCGGTGCGTCAAGTATAGCTGGGCCCGTACCAAGGTGGCAACAATGCGAAGAGATCAGTAAGCTTATCTGAAAAGACTATACCGGCACTTGTCAGCAGGACTTGCAAGCACAAAAGTAGACGTACGTTTCATGATTATGTTGGTGGGTACATCGTTTCACGCCGCAAAGACATAAATGGATCAGCAGACTGCGAAGTTCAACATGAAGTTGCATTTGTGGCTGCAAAGTTGTAACGTCTTACCTGCGCTTTCGCGTCCAAGGCATTTGTCTGCAAACGATCTGCTCAAAAGGTGTCGACGGTCGGTTTGGCTTCTCAGTCCACGTAAGGCACAAGCAACTTGTAAGTCATCTTTTGCTCGGGCGAAACGATCGATTTTCTTAGAAATTTAAATCAAGTGGCCTAGCAATGTCACCACGTTATCTTCAAGTTGCGCGGAAGAGACCGAAACAAGAATAGCGCGATAATGACGAAGCGTATTCTAGTCTATGAAATCATGCGATGCTACTGATTTCACGAAGGTTTTTTTTCGCGCTGGCTGCATGACTTCACGTCAATTAGGTCAATTTGTAGTAACAGCAGGGCTAGAATTCTTGAAAAGCGTTAGACGAAAAGTCCCAGCTGCCCCAGCAATGACCATTTTCCTTCCAGATTATATGGTACGTAGCCTCTTGGTTCAACAAAGGTGCCAACTAGCTTTGTTACACTAAGAATGCTACGTACCTTGCGCAGGTGCGCGCCGAACGTGGAGCGATACACGTCAAAAACAAGCCAAGTAGACACTCTTGCGTCTGTTCGTCTTGTAACCGGCGCGATCTGTCTGTAGCCATGTTCGACAACTTTTGCCTCCACCTGCTCGCTGCAATAACGTTTGCAATCTTTCGTCAGTTCGATAAAGTGCCACGAAAGTTTGCTTCGAAACGGCCACAGCGTAGTGGCCGGATGTAGCGCGATCTCGACGCGTGGGGGTGGGTGGATCCCAAGATACAATAATAATAGGTCGCATACTGAATGTTCTGCTGGATTCCTCATTAGTTACGTGCCCATCACCCGACGCTCTTCGGGAATGCTCGGACGCGCTCTGCGTCGGAGTAACATGAGTGGACCAAGCCGTACACATTGACAGCTGGGCACCGGAGCTCTCTTCAAAGGTAATAAGCATCAAAAATACGCAAAGCTGCAGTGCCATCGTCGTAAAATGGCCGTCGTTTGACAGCAAAATCGAAGCGACGGCTTTGCTTGCAGAACAATAGAGCCAACCGAACCTGCGGCGAAAGTGCCACGTTGACTCGCTATATCTATCTCGCCCTCTCTACTGTTAAAGTCATCAGCCGACCACACGAATCTATCGTCTGCTTGGCCGCGTGAGTTTCACCTTGAGGCGGATAGAGCAAGCAGCCGCTCGTCGCTTGCACTTCCACCCCCTAACCGTGAGGAGCGTGCCACCTGCTTCTTCGAAGCACAACTTTTTTGCCTTCCGACCATGAAAAACTGCCAGCCGTTGCACAGCTTTTTCAGCTTTTCCTGGTCCTTTTGGCCCAAATATTTTCGGCGGTTGGTGTGATTCATTCTCCAATTTGCCGAATCTCCAACAGAAGGATCGACTGTTACGTCGTATAATGCCCGGTCAATTTGTTGACGTCGTGGCTGTTGCATCTCCAACGACACTTGCTTTAAACTCAAAAGACTGTGATGAACCTCGTGCGTTGCCACTGCGTGGCGTCCGGTCGCAATCGCTTTCGAAACTATCGCGTCGAGCGTCGACGGCTAGTGTGCTTACAGTAGAGAATAAACAATGCGACACGTTTAGTGAGAAGGAGGAGATTGAACTCCAACAACAGCAGCGTATACGACATGCTCGTCGTGCCCTTAGCTCAGGGACTGGTAGTTCTCTTAGTCTATTACAGGAGGAACTTGGATATCCACGACGTACTCGAGTGACTCCAGATGGACACAGGTATCGACGCGGGTCTTTATTTGAAACGTCTGTGGAGACAGTAACCAGTAGCCATGATAGTGGCAGGGAAATACACAGCAGGAGCAGTAGCAGTTCAGGTAGTGTGGCAAGCACGAACGATATGCTTCGAACACAGTCGGTGCCTGAACCAGAAACGGAGAATCATCTTCATCATGGACGTACTTGGACATTTAATTCGGCTACGTACTCGCCACGAAGTGACGATGGAGATACATATGGAGATGTACCGGATGAGGACGAAAACTTTATGAACTACCGTAGTGCTTCCGTCACAGGTTACAGTCGCGACACTGACGGAGTTGTCTACTATGAGGTGATTGTGCGTAACATCACGCACGGCCCACTGTCTGCTTACAAAGTGCGACGACGTTACTCCGAGTTTCGAGACTTGCACGTAGCGCTGAGTAAGGTCATGCCAGTCTCCCATAGGAAACTCGCGTCCGTCACGGCCATGGCCAGTATCAGGGACGAAAGCAATATCGACGAGGACGAGGACGTGTCGGGGAGTCTCCGTTACTCTACTACAGACTGCAGCGAAAGTAAAGAGCCGACACTACCTCCGCTACCAGACAAAGGTGGCGTGTGGAGCTACCTATTGTTCGACAGCATTCCACTACTGGAACGACGAGCCAAGTACTTTAATGCCATGCTAACAGCTGCACAAGAGCACCCAATGGCACGTGCTAGTCGACTGCTCAATGACTTTGTCGGCACACCGCCTGACCTTGTATCCATGCACTCGAGCGTCAAGAGCAGTTACGTGAGCTTGAATCGCTTTGCGGCGCCTAAGTTGAGCTTCGATATTGAGATCCAGGAGAGAAAAGAAAAGGCCAAGAGCATCCGACGACGCCGCAGCTCTCTTAAACGTCAAAGCTTCACCGGATCACTTGATGCCAGCTTTATCAGCCCGCGTCCGTTGGAGTAAACATCTTCAACAGCAAACAAACAGCCTCGCCGAAGGAAAGACATCCCTATCCATCACACATCACACGGTATCTCGGCACCGTTTTGGATTCTCTCATCATCGTTGTTGGATCGTCTCATCATCGTTGCTACTCTGGCGTTCATTTATGTGGTATTTGTTCTCATTAGTTGGTGAAATGTCAAGAAAAAATGTATTGAATGTGCCGTGTAGCATTCCTTCTTGCTTTTCCGTCTGCCGCACGGAAGCGTAACGACAGTTTTGTTGCTGTTTTGTTTGTAACGCCACAACACAGGACCTGGTTGTGTGACCACAAAGTTGACAAGCCCACAATGGCTTACGACAAAATACTAGGAACCAGTTTGGCTCTGTGTTCAGCGATCTATTTAGGCAATAAGCATAGGAGTCTGCATGCACGCACCTCACCCCTCTTCTCACACATCTGTCTACAGGCTCCAACAAAGTCAAGAGTCAAACTAAACCAGAGCTACACTAGATACTCACGGTGGTACCATCTTCTGGATGTAGTCGGCGATCTCTGGCTCAAGATACTCCGACAGTTCATCCCTCGTCACCCAGAGATAGTCACCAGCCTTTTCCTGGTTCAGTACCACATCACCGTCCAAATGTTGTGACTTGTAGAAGAAAATCTTGGTGCCATCGTACTCAGCATCATCACTTTCATGCAGGTACTTCACATAGCCCATGGGTCCAAACCCCACTGGCGTGGCTTCCAAATCATCACCCACCGTCTCATTAACATGTCGAAGTGCAGCTTCACGCATCTTCTCCGAGTCCTGCTTGTCACCTACCGGGAAAAACCACGGATACTTGGCATCTTTCTGGTTATTTTTAACCAGCAAAAACACACGGCCCTTGAGCGCACGGTTCAATGATTTGCGGTTGTTATTGGCATCATCTTCCGTCTCACGAGGAGCCAAATGGAAGCCTGCCCCTACAATCTCATCAGGATCTTCTTCTTCATTAGGCCACGGTGCCTCCTCGGGCGTAATGTGCTTCGTACCGGGCTCCATGAACCAAAAATCTTCCTCTAATCGCTGATCTTCTCGCAACGCCTTCTCATGAAGCATGACCTCAAAATCCATCTCCCAGTCCTTTAAATCAGGCTGAATGATTGGCAAACGTTCCAAGACACCAGCACTCAGCACCCTCCACTTTTTACCATCGTCTAGAGGCGGCGAAATGAGAAAATTCTGACGCTGAACCTTTGTCCGAGGCTGTTGACGTGGTGGTGGTGGATTACGCCTACGTTCTTCGATTTTGGCCTTTTGACGCCATGTTAAGCGCGTTTTCTTTTTAGTAGCAAACATACGCAGCTGTTGAGCTGATTGGAAGCCATTCATGGCGCGTGTCAAGCCACAGAGGACGGACATTCGAGAGATGATTAAGCTCCTGGATGGATGGATACACGTCGATGTGTGTGGCTCAGACCAATAGCTTATTACTAGTAGCGGTATTTACCGGTTTCTTGCGAACAATTCTGCGACGTGTGAAAACAAAATGGCTACATTACAAGGTTCGGATGAAGGAACGACATTGGGGTTACCTAGATCTCTTTGTTGAAAAGCGGGTGGTTGTATCTGCCTGGAATCTTGGCACCAGCTTCTGACGTGTTGGATTTACTGGTGGTGACAATATTACGTCGAGCGTCTGAACCGGCGGATCGAAGTACCGCAGGAGCATTTCGACGTTCCTGCATGCCTTTCGTCCATGAATCGACTTCTATGCGATCCAATTTACTAAATAGCAGACGATAACGTGTTGCTAATGCTAGCACGCCTTCAACTATTGTAGTAGCCCACGCGGCACCCAGTTTGCTGTAAAGTGTGCGCAGTAGAGGCATCAACTCGGTATGCAGCCGTCGTGCTCGCTCCTCTTCCTTCTGATCGTCAATCTTGCACACTATTGCTTCGAAACGAAGCTTGACAGCTTTTGCAGCTTTGTTAAACTGATACGTTTCATCCGTAAAAAGTTGTGCGTGCGTAATGGCCAAAAATGTCCATGTCTCCAGCCTCTGCTTTCGTTCCTTCCGTTCTTCGTCACTAGTACTTAAAAGCGTGTCACGCTTTGCATCCAGATTTTCAATAAGCGTTTGAAATTCTTTTTTACCGCTTAAGGTCTCTCCTTTTTCGTTAATCACCTTTGTCAAAGTCTTTAGAAAGAGCTCACTCGTCCTCGGTGTCAATTGATCCGACACCAACTGACAAAACAACGCACTAGCTTTAGCAAATTTCGTATCGACCAACTACAAAGATCAAAGAAAAACACGAGGAATCAGCTTAGCTACTCCCACAACCATGTCACATATTTTTAACGTACCATATATCCCTCAAGTTTCGCCATCATCGCTGCCAAATCCAGTGGTCTTTTTTGTCGCTTCACGGGTATATTTTTCATCGTAGAAAGGTCAGCATTCTTCTTCTGCTTCGTCTCTTCTTCTCTCTCCCGTTTTGTCTGCTTGGGCAGCTCTAAGCCGTCATACAAGCCGCTAGTGTCCATTAAATCTCAAGATATGCTCGATGCAAGTATCATTCTTTTGTATAGTTTTGTCTCCCCATTGTCGACTCATTGTATCAATTCACTTAATGCCGCCACTTGACTCCATTTCTCACGAAGACGCGCGTATGAATATGGAAAGATTCTCATCTTCTGATCGTATACAAATTCACCCTTTAGCCCTTACTATTGGTATCATTGGTTTACTTGGTCTTCTCTTTCTCGTCACTGCATCTTCGTATCAAAAACAAAAACTACAAATCATGGCTCGTAAAATGCTCCGTAAGAAACGAAAATCAGTCACGGAGGAAGACACGGTCGCGACAAATGGAATCCATCAAGTCTCAGACCTCCCGGTCTTTACGCGTCATGCAGCCGAGTCGGGTAATGCACGTGTCATTAAGCGCTGGGTCCATTCTACAGACAGAAACGTCGATGCCCGAAGTGCTGAGAATCTCACGGCACTGCACTACGCTGTACGTGGCGGTCACAACGAGTGCACGAGGCTGTTGCTTATGGTTAATGCCGATCCGAACGCTATTGATGAACGTGGTATCACGCCGTTGCATTTGGCGGCACTTGGCGGTCACGCGCTCTGTGTGAAGCTGCTACTGGACCATCACGCCGATCCGTTCCGAGAAGACGTGGACCATCACACTCCGCTGTTTATTGCAGAACAAAGCGGCAATATTGGATGTGCTAGATTGCTACAGCGAGCAATGGCCAAAGCGGCGGTGCAAGATGAAGCGTCCGTCACGTTACGTGCTGGTGCGAACACTGCACACATCGACAATACGGTGTAAGTCATACGGTGTAAGTCACATGTTCATTGCTCGTGAGTTGAGCACAGAATCTAAGTCAGCAAATAAAGTGCATCAAACTCATCGAACCTTGTCATTCTTGCAAAGTTTTCTATAATTTGGAGTCGCGGCAGGCTTCAAACATGGTGGCGAGAGCGGTCACAAGCCGATCCACTTCGTGACGTGTGTTGTTTGCATGAACAATGATACGGAGGCGTTCTGCACCCTTTGGTACTGTTGGAGAGCGGATAGGAATCACGCGGATGCCCATGGCGTTCATCAGCTGTGACGCCTTTAGGACACGGTGATTGCCTGCAAATACGACACCTTGAATTGGAGAGTCACTGGCCAGTAATGCATCTTGAGGAATACGTGGATTGTTGTGAACCTTCTCCTTAAAGTATTGCACCAACTCGATTACATTGCTGCGAAGTGCGTCGGCTGCAGCGCTGGCGCTGAATTCGTGCACACAGGCAACAGTCACGAGCTGATCAATTGGGAACGCAGTGGTGTAAATGAAGGACCGCGCATAATTGACCAGATAGTCAATCAGCACCTGGGAGCCGCAAACTACGGCACCATGGCAACCCATGGCCTTGCCAAAAGTGTAAACTCGGCACGCAATAGTGCGTTTGTATGTCTTCTCCAACCTCAGCTTACGTACAACACCAGAACCTTGAGGACCATAGACACCGGTACTGTGTGCCTCGTCAACAATGAGGAAAGCACCCATTCGATCACAGAGTGCTGCCATCGCATCCAACGGAGCAAAATCTCCATCCATCGAGTACAGTGACTCTACTACCACATAAACACAAGCCTTTGGCGTGTCTTTGCTCGTCGAAATCGCTATATACTTTTCAATTTTGTGCTTGAGGTCCTCAAGATCATTGTGTCTGAAAGCAAATGAATGACCATTGGCGTACGCGCGACTCAATCGAATTCCTTCATGACACGAATTATGTACCAGCTCGTCGTACAAGATCACGTCTTCTGAATGTGGAATACAAGCCAAAACACCGAGATTCGCAGCATATCCCGAGTTAAAAAGAAGTGCTGCATCACTACAGATTCCGCATCAAGACAGTGTCAATCTATCAAGTATCATCTGCCTCATCTCATTAGATATGCAACCAGTTTGTACCTATTGTAAAATGTAGCCAAGTCTTTTTCCACTTGCAAAAAAAGACGTGAATTGCCTGAAATAAGTCGGGAGCCTGTAGCTCCCAATAGTGGTCCCTGTTGATTGTAAAGCTCCATTTGACGTGTGGTTACAAGATCTTTTAGCGACTGCGAGAGCGCAAACCCAAGATAATCATTCGAATAAAAATCTATCGTACTCGACGTCTTTGTATCTACTGGAATCTGTAACGTGCGAAGCGTGCCCATGGCACGTCGACGGGCCAATGCCACGCTCAACTTTTTATCCATTTAAATTATCGGATGTTGATCGAGGATAAAATTTATGTAAACCACATGAAACATTATCGCGATTTGGCAAAACGTTCGCCGCACGTTCCGGTAAACAGGCGACCACTACAGTAGGTCTTTTTTTGTATGATGGCTACAAAGATACCGTTTGACAGTGTCTCACTCGCGACAATAACGCATGTGTCTCGTCTGAGCCAGTAAATGGTGGGTAGTTTAATAGCGTATGATAATATGAAGGCATTCTATCAAATGGAACTTTAGTCGTGCAGATAACAATAGTTCAGCTGTATTTCAAAGCGACGTGTGTTTCTTATAGTCACTCGTATTTCTTTTTTCGTCATGTTTAGTCTGGGACGCACTACAATTACACGCTACACCGATGACTTGAACTCCTGCAAACCTTGGTTTACAGAAAGCTCCTTCTTGGTGTTAGTACGCACGTACAACAGGGCAGATGCGTGTTGGCACTCTTGACATTACAATCACTCGACAAAGAGCAAAATGTCCAAGCCAACTTCTTCAGTATTAGAAGAGACATCGCGATCCTGCTGATAGCCTGACTCTTTCTCCGACATACCAGTGCTAGTCGTAGCTGACTCTTGCATACTTTCGTAATTGCTTGCACTCTGCCAATCAAACTCGTTCTTGCAGTCGAACTCAAGCGGAAACGAACCGATCTCAAAGTTCGACGATGTTGTCTGTGCATCCCACATCCACGGCTCTAAGAAAGCTCCTTGTAGTGCAGCAGCATCGGCGACGCCATTGTGGCCATTATGTTGATTTGCAACCGACGAGTACGGGTGGGCGTGAAGATCAGTGTGCTTCAAGTCGAATGGCTTGAGCCCACTATTATTAAAACTCGAATCTGCAAAAGTGCTTGACGTGCCACTTTTGTTCAGCACCTGAGGCTTTGAAAACCGAAAGCCACTCGAAGCTTGTGCAAAATCGGACTCGTTCGGATTCAAGAAAGAAGAAGTCACCGACGCTAGCGGCGCCGTGTTACTTGACGTTCCAGCGGATACCAAAAGACGATGCGGCAAAAGCGGCGGCAACGTGAACTGCTTGAACGAGTCTTCACAAAAACCTTCTAAGCCGTTGAGCGAGTCGGATGTGTCCTGCTTCATGGCAATACTTGGTCGAGCCAATTTCTTAAGAGGTGGCTGATGATTCCGACCGTAACGGAATACACTGCTTTCCATACTGGAATTGGAATTGGGGCTATGGTACACTTCATCGAACGGAGACATATCGTGGTGTGGAACCTCAACATGAATTGGGCATTGACGTGATGCACTCGTAGGCTGTTCAGCTTTTGTCTTCACGATTCCGGTACCGGCCACGTGTCGCGTCACCGGTTGACCGTTTGCTGTCGAGGTCGAGGGTGCAACCGCCTGTGCACTCTTTTGTCTCCATTGGTCTCGGATCGACATGCTGGAATTATTAGCGCCTGATAGATCTGGTGGAAAGCAGTTGTGACTAAAAGTACAGACTCCACTTGATTGGGTTTTGGTCCACTTGCGAAAGCCAAAGTTATTCAGCTGGCGCTGAAAGCTGGCAAACTTTTGGTGTTTAAAGTACTTTGGCAGGATCTCCCGTTCAAACCGCTCCATTTCAAGGATATGAAAAGCCGTGACACAGTTGGGTGTAAGAGTTTCGTTCTCCACCCACGAAATAATGTGTGGGTCTTCCGTCTGCAAGATGGCATACAATGACCTCAAAAACTTGGGAACTTTGCAAGCAGCGGCTGTAGCAGCCAATGCAGCAGGTAGCCCTGTATTGGTAGATGTCATTGCTGACTTGCCTTTCTTGACAGAGCTAACGGGCGATAGCCGTAAGCGCTTGGAAGACTCAGATCTGGACGAGTCAGTTGTCGGACGGGCGGTTTTGGCAGACGGCATGGGCGATTGACAAACTGTGACAACGAACTTTCGATTTTTGACTGGGACAATTGAATTGGTCACTAGGATGAAAATCGATGAATGAATCTGGAAAGTAAAATTGGTGTCATTCCTGGGAGACGACGATAAAGCATTGACTGCCAAGGTAGTCATACGGTACAAATGTATACTGACCAATCAGTAGTTGTTGAAAAAGGCGACCCGTTGGATCGCGTCCCAGTGACGGGAGACAGGACATACAAGATACTTTTTTTTCAAGGCCGACAGAGCGAGCAGCTCCAAACGTTTGTTTGCAAACTTTGCTCAATGGGTGTAGTAGTAAGCAAGCGGTAAAAAGGCAAACCGTTTGTTTTATCCGCACATGTGTGCGACAATCTTTTACCGCAACTTGTCGTTGAACGCCCTTTGCCGGCTGCAGGCAGACTACTCAAAAAGGAACGACAGGAGCGTTTGAATCAAACGTAAAAATAAGAATACCGACTTTACGCCGCTTAGCTTAGCTACAACATGTAGATGGTACGATCCTTAAGCCAGAAATATCAAGTAGGGCATGTAACTGTCACAAGAGCAGGAAATGACGTGCCTACGCAAGATAGAGATATCGTTCACGTTCAGTATTACTAAATGACCCAAGAACATGCCCGTTTGCTACCGATTGATTTTGCCACGTTAGGATAACGCTGCTGGAACGCTCGGCGAACCATTTGTCGAACCAAATCAGAGTCGAGATTTCGAACGTCAGCAGGTGGACTGGCGTTGTTGACAAATGCTGCATGGAACGCTAAGGATGTTTTTTTGCTCAATGATTCAGTCAATGGATGTCCACGCTGACTGCCTATAACCCTGAAATGGTCTTTGCATCTTGCTCCACCGAAAGCTGAAAACACAGTTTCTAATTTGTAGACAATGATAGACGAAACGCCACTAAACAATATCTACTTCTGCCCTTGGTCGATGCTATGGTCTAAATCAGCGTACGCATGTCGGATTCCCGGTTCGAAAACCTGACGAGGCCATTGGTGTCGCTAGAGACAGTGACACACTTACGTCTTCTTCTTGATGTTCAACATCAGCTTGCAGATGTCAACAAATGGTCTTTTTCAGCAACGAATTCATACGTAAGTGAGCACGTTTACGCTATTGTCTGAATTCTTTGGAGACAAATGTACGACGACTGAAAATGCCATGGCCATATAAATAATGGATTTTGTCAGTGGAGCGGTGAACTTTACGCTTCATGGAGCGTTTCAGAAGACGATGCACACGTGTAAATAGGAACAAACTTCAGCACCACCTAATTGCATGAAAACATGCCGCTGTTGGACCCATGAGCAGGAGAGAAAGGATCGATTAAGCGTGTTCGTCACGGACGTATTCGAAAAGGATGACCAAGTCACGTTCAGTAGGAATAGGTGCATTATACCACTTCAACTACATGTAGCAATAATTCTACTTTGTCGTGTTCAGCAGCTCAGAAAATAGACACTGGAGTTCTAACAAAGCAATTGCTCACCACGAACACTAGCCAGCCATGCACCCACATCAGCGGCATTTGGACGTAGCATCGGGTTGCGAAACACACAAGCTGCAATCAAGTCCATGAGAGGCAGCGGACAATCCAGCGAGAGTTGAGGACGAAGTCCGTCATTAACAATGCGACGCATCAAAAGCAGAGGGCGCTGCACAAGTCGCTCCATGCGTTTAGTAAATTGCTCCCCCAGTAGCAGCACCAGGACTTGATGATGTCGATGCAACTGCTGCAGATTCTTCAACCTGGAGTATCCTGCCCATCATCGATACTGACCGCTTTACAACTGTACTGCCAGAGTCGATTGGAGCCGTTGACGTGCTGCTGTTGACGCATTGTTGAGCTAGAAAATGCTGCAAGTCACCGCCTTTCATCTACATTTCTGAACCATGACTACATGTTCAAGTGTGTTCCAAGCAATGCCATTCAAAATTACGATGTGGGGTTGCTACAGCTGCGTCATGAGGTAGATCTCGGCCAGAAACATATCTATTCGAGGTATAAAGCGTCGTTTCTCCGGTAATAGTTGTCTAAATCGCAACCTGTGTAATCTTGTGGAGTGCTACCCCGACCTCACCACTTGTTCCACATGACAGCAGTCGTAACAGCTGCAGCTCCCCGAATGGGATACGTAGTCGCCCAAATTTTGCAGTGTGACTCAAACAGGCGAAAGTTTTGGATGGCAATCTCGTTTTTTCGTGCTGTTCGTTGATCGGTTGTGGGTAGGCTAGCTCCCGTGTCTTCACAATATGCTTTTGCCTCGCTTTGCAGCGGGAGCATTTGTGCCAACGACGACGCTGACAATCCAATACTAGCGTTAAAATGCTCCCCAGAAGTGCAGCATTCTGGATTTCTTCGTCATAGAAGAGCGGCGCCTCTGATCTATCAAGACTTTAGCTTAAGACCTGCTGAATGAAACCTAAGAGCTGTACGCGCTGTCCTTATTTCAGGACTGAAAAATGCTGCTGACTAATTCCTACTTCTTTACAGTCGCCGTCTACCTTTACGTTTGAAACTAGTGCTTCAACTGCTCCATTGTCAGATAAATGTCGATTTTCACGCATGAACAGATCGACTTCTCTTTGTATTTTTCCTCACGCCAAGCCGACTTGTAGCGGTACACAGCCACTGTGTCGCATATCAAAAAGGTGATAATACTCCATGGCACCAGTAGCCACGTCCAATCTCCTTGTTAATCCTGTGCATACTTCGTAAGCCAAGCAGACGCCACAAGACCTGGTTCTGGTGTACAAAATCTCGATCGATTCACCAAATTGTGCGGCGCACAAGGGTTTATCATCGCTGGTATGAATGGACACTGTGTATAGGCCATCTCTTCGTTTGTCGTATGGAGTGCAAGGATTAGATTAGGCGTTCCCTCATCATCCAACTAGACATGACGTTGTACTGTCACTATCGGTAGTGTATCGGCTACACCTCCGTCAGCAGCATAAGTTAGTGCCGAGATGTCTTGAGCTGCATCCACAGCACATTGAACCACGCTAGAGCTGCGAAGCCTTGCAATCAATGCCCGATGGAACGTCATTCCATCTGGTAATACACACTCTCTCAATTGACAGCCAACACGATCAAATGCCTTGAATAGCACCACTAATTCGGCCATGGAGCGACAACATCGTGTGTACCTTTAATCAACGAGTGCATCGACGTCAACACATAACCGGTATCCCATATAAAAGTACGTTGTAAGAGGCTTGACAGGTCGTTCCAGGTGGCGAATAGGTGCTGAGCGTTTACTGCAGATTGTTAGGTAGCGATTCCGAGCTCACATCCATAAGTTGTGCAGTATTGTCCATCTCTATGAAGAGCGTAAAGTATCGTGAGCAAAGTCAGAATGCAAACCATTCTATATAAAACCTCTTCAGTAGGTACATCAATAGAGAATGCAACTTGTTGCAAGAAGGACAAGAATAGCAGTACTGGAAAGTGTAACATTGTCGAAAAGGTGTGGTCATAAGTTGATTAATTTGAATTATTGAAATGCTGTTCGAAACACATTGCGCCAAGACTTCGTAGCATTACGCAAAAGAAGGTCTAGACATCTTACAATGATAGTGTTTACCTGCTCCTGCCATCGACTTTATGACGAGTTGTTCTAGTTTAGATGGAGTTCGTTGGTTGAGCCCCAAGCATTAAATGGTCGAACTTCTAAACGGCAACAAATATTTTCTGGAACATGCAGATAGTTGGGCGCCACGGACGGCTGTGGCCGCCCTGCAATGGAGACGTTTGATGAGCGCCCTCAGTTGGAGCGGAATCCTTCCCCAGATGAAAGCTTCACTGGCTTGTATCGGGATATGCGCATTGTGAAAAACCCTGTCGATGCAAAGTTGCCAGAGCATTGTAATGATGATGGTCACTGCGACTTTCCAAACCGTCCTCCAGGCTGTGGCGAATTGATCCGTGTCTTCCGGGTGCCGAGCTAACAGCTTTGCTGTGATTTGCGGCGAGATGCGTGGTACAAGACAGTTTGCGCAGTGCTCGAGCCAATCCAGTAGGTGGGTAAGATGTTAAGGTGTACTCTCCAAATGACTAATAAGCCGGGCCCAGATTGCCTGAGCACAATGATATCCCAAAAAGAGATGCTCCTGGGTCTCCTTTTGGCCTACACATTCCAGGTATGTGCATGATCTGCCCGGGGGCCAGTTTTGGTACCAAAAGTTTAGCTGCCCGGTAGCGTGGCAGTATCGTGTCCATAGCTGATAATCCATTACCGCATGGCCGTGATCCCATAGCTGAGCCGGCGTGACATCCAAAGCTGTGCGTTGCCACCGCGTATTCTGGCTCTTGGTGACTAGCCGATCGATGACCTGCTTAAATGGTGCTGCGAGACAGTGCTTTGTCGCCTGGAAATGCTTGCTGTTTCAGAAAAGTGAATAGTCGATGATTAAGAATCGTAGGCGGTGCGGATTACGGATAGTGGTGGAGCTGTGGGTTGGAAAAAAGACAACCCATGTCGGCTGAGCTTGCAAAATCTCCGCTTGTTGGGTGAGTTCCTGCGATTTCCCTTTCACCAGCGGCGGATTTCCCGTCGAAAACTTAAGTTATGCCATTGTGGCATTAAGTGGTGACAACAGATACTTGAACACTGTTTTGATGACAGGTGTGGTCTTGCAGTAATTACTTGGTCATTGAACCATTCAAAGCGATGTGGCTACACACGAGATATCATAGCAATCAATCTGCGCGACCCCGAGGAATCCCGTCTCTGCACCGTCCATTCAAGCAATCAGCCCAAAAAAAACACATGTTTTTACCAAGCACCATGAAAATGGCTCTTTTTTAGCAACAGAAATTGCTAATTGTGCCTATAAATAAAAGCACACTACAGACTGCCACCTAATCAGCAACAAAATTTAATACCTGTGTCACTCATTTTCCTCTCCAAAATGCTTGTTTCTTCTTATCGACATCAATTTTACGGTAGCTTTTGTATTGACACACCTGCTTTATCTTTCGATTACCTTTCATTTCCGATTTAAGAACCAAGTCACCTACGCAAGTGTGCCATGTGTTTTTTAGTATACAATTACCAAGTCTAATTCTAATTGTACCTTGGATCCATCCGATGACGCTCCATTTCCAAAACGTCCTCCAGGAGCTCAATTGTATCATGTCATCAATCACCAAGTCTCCCATTGCATTAATAGCTCAACCATATATCTGTGGTGGCTCTTCTGCCGTATTTGCAGCCGTTGCTATCCATCCCATTGATCTAGTTAAAGTGCATTTACAATTAGCAGGTCAAACCGGTTCCAACGTCACGGGTCTGGGCATTGCTCGCTCCGTTGTAGCAAAGGAAGGTATTACCGGATTATATGCGGGTTTATCAGCTGCTGTAGCCCGTCAAATGGTTTATGGTACAGCCCGTCTTGGAATGCATCGTGCCTTTTCTGATAAGATGATTGCACGTCGCGTCGCCAATGGTGAAAGCGCGTCACTGCCACTTGCTATCAAGTCTGGATCAGCTATTGTTACGGGCGGGATTGCTGCAACACTGGGCTGTCCTATGGACGTTGCTCTTGTTCGGATGCAAGCCGATACATTGACCAAGAGTGGCGAGAAACGTGGTTACAAGAACGTATTTGATGCCATTTTGAAGATCGCAGGCTCGGAAGGTGTAGCGACACTGTGGCGCGGCAGCATCCCTCTTGTCGCTCGTGGTGCTGCCATGAATCTTGGCATGATGGCCTCCTATGATCAGGCAAAGGAGATGATTGTGGCTCAGTATGGCCCCGGTTTCGTCACAAACATTGGTGCCAGTGCTGTGTCTGGCTTTGCCTGCGCCTTCACGTCACTGCCTTTTGATCTGGTCAAGTCGCGTCTTATGAACATGAAGGTAGACCCCATGACGGGACAGAACCCGTACTCAGGCGTGACAGATTGCTTTAAGCAGATCATTACTAAGGAAGGACCTTTCAAGCTTTGGCGTGGATACTGGACGTACTACACGCGCTGTGCACCTAACGCTATGATCGTGCTTCTGGTAGTTGAACAACTCAATTCGGTATACAAGAAAGCCTTCCTCGACTAGAGTTATAATCAGAGAGCACGCCGTCGACCTCCATTGCGGTGGAATAAAAGCTCAGCGTGTTATAGATACGTGCTCGCCGAATGAAGACGAGGTTTGGGTGCATTTTGCAGCGATCAATCGTTTCGAATGAAGCACGTTAAGGGGATTAAGTGCATGTAGAAAACGTGAGCCAGCTAGCATTCAAGAAGACAAAGTGCGGATATTAAATAACATGCTTGTATCTGCCACCATACACTCGCGCTTGCGACTTCCAACAATCCCTTTTGTCGGCATCGTCTAGCTGGGGTTCAGGTCGTTCTTCGATGGTGGTGGCGCCTTCAAAAGGGTATGAATGTCCGTTTCCATGCTTAGAGGTAAGTAGCTTGGGGGATACCGCTTGAACAACCGACCTTCGCGATCAAAGAGAAACTTGACCAAATTGTTTTCAATAAATGCGTTCGCAGGAGACTTAGCAGGCCCTGGCTGTCGCGTTTTACAAAAAATCATTGCATCGCGTGCGTTTGGCCCGTTCACGTCGCGAGTGGCCAGCACTGAAAAGCGGACACCAAACAGTTCTCCAAAACGCTCAACGAGCTCTTGATCATTGTCAAATTCCGCATCTCCAAACTGAGCACTAGGAAATGCCACCACCTTCAGGCCTGCGTCTCCATACTCCGTTGATAGCTCTGCCAGTTCCATAAGTTGCTCCGTGTCGGTGGTACAGGAACTACTGGCCACATTTGTCAGCAAAGCCACGTGACCACGTAGCTGTGACAAGTACACGGTGTTGCCCACTGCATCCTTGTCTTGCAAAGAGTAGAGGGAAGCTGACGAGGCAGCGAATGACAAAATTGCAGGGTGGGTCTCAATGAATGCAGCACCAGCATCCAATAGCGCCAACAACCACTGTTCTTGTTCGGGTTTGTTTTGCAAGACGAGAATCTCCACTGCATCGTCGTTCGAGTGGATACCTATGCGATCACCACCACAATTGCAAACTTTTAGAGCATTGACACCCGAGTACTCCACTGTAGCCGCAGTAAGATTCACACGTACAAGCTCGCGTCTTGCCACGTCTGTCTCAAACAACACCAGCAAGTGGTGTTTCGTATTCACGACAGCGTAGCAACGTTTTGACTTTGTTGCAATTCCGAGCACATTTCGTACGGGAGACCCTTTCACTTGACGCTGTATCAACCCGGCACGAATTGCACCGTCAGTCACCGCCCAGACCGAGAGCGTGTCGTTAAATTGACATGATTCCTTCTTACGGTTCGTAGGCGATTGATGTGGCTGAACGGGCGAAACAATGGCACCGGGCAAGAGGTTTGTTGAACTGTTATCAACAGTAGCGGAAGCTGCCACATAAGGAATCGAAACAATTGCGTTAGCACCTGGAGCTACGAGCTCATAATAGTCGTCATCCATTACGTAAAGCTCTTCAAGTAATTCCTCGTCAGCTTCAGGGGTCTCATCAACTGGTGACAAGAAACCGCTTAGCACAAGCCCTTCTGCAAGCTGCTGAGCATCACGAAGAGTATTTCTGGCCGCATTGGACAGCACGAGATACTTCAGAATGGCCTTAATAAGCTTACGACCTTGTACAAATGTTCCCTGTCCAGCCTTTGCCAAATGGAGCGGATGCTGCCACCAATGCTTACGTTGTTCAAAGACATGGAAACGCACTTTCGGTGCCAACAAGTATGTCGCAACCATGTCCGATTGTGCTTTAAGCTCCGATGGTAGCAAGTGGAACCGTTGAAGTCGACGAAACACACGTCCTTCGACTGCTACAACAGGTGATAGACGTGGTGATGTGATTGAAAGAACGGATGAAGGTGACATTGCAGTCACAAACGAGGACTCTTGTTCTAAATGCTCAAGCTCATATTGTTCAGTTTCTCGAGCACTTTCGGCCAACGCTGTCAAAGTTTGCGCTGCACTCATGAGAGAATTGGAAACTGAGAAAATAAAACTATTTAAGTGCTCGCTCCCTTTCTCGTATTGACGTCTTCCAGTTAGGAATTCTATCGTGAAGTTTAGTTGCTTCAAGTACAAAACCACCGGAACCAGTTTCAAATAGAGCACTTCACGTTCACCTTGGCTAATACAATAAGAAACCGATGAAGAAAGCCACGCTTCTCAACGTGGAATCCTTTGACGCCGATAGGTTATGCGGGACCGGCTCATTTAAAGCGCCGCCACAGTCACCGCAACATCTTCCGACTTGGTAGTCTCCTCCTTGATCTCGACCACCTCTGTGATAGAAATTTCTTCCTTCACGTCAGACTTGACAACCTCAGTAATAACGGTTTCTTCCATCTTCTCTGTCGTCGCCTCCTCGTCCAACTTGACGGCTTCCGCTTCCCCCTCCTGGACCTCTTCCTCCGTCTTCTCCGGCTCAGGCGCTTTCGCCAGTAGCTCCTTGATGTCCTCCTCAAATGAAAAAGGAAGGTCATTCGGCGCGTAGTGCTTGAACGGCTGGCCATTGCGGTCTACCAAAAACTTGGTGAAGTTCCACTTAATGTAATTCCCAAACGTTCCAGGCAGTTTTGCCTTGAGGTATGTAAACACCGGACGAGCGTTTGACCCGTTCACATCGTGCTTCTCAAACAGCGGGAACGTCACATTGTACTGCTTCACGAACTCCATGATCTCTTCATGTGTATCCGGCTCCTGCCCAGCAAACTGGTTGCAGGGGAACGCCAACACCACCAAACCCTCGTCCTTGTACTTTGCATACAGCTGTTGCATCTCCGGGTAGTTCGTAGACGTCAGACCGCACTTGCTCGACACGTTCACCACTAGCACAACCTTACCCTTATACTCGTCCATCTTGACTTCCTTCTTGTCCATGTCGAAATCCGTCAGCTCGTAGAACGACTTTGCTTCCTCAGCAGCAAGGTTGTACACTTCACGGTACTTTGCGCCAACGTTCAACAACGTGTCTAGGAAAGCCTCCTGCTGTTCTTTCGTCACGAGATTAAGGAGCTCAAACTTCTCACCGTGCACCAGCTTGACACCGAACTGGAAATGAGAGTTGTCAAATTGGACCAAGACATCAGCTGTGTTGTACTCAGCAAGGGCAGCACGTGCTACGTCAGACTCAAAAAAGTAAATCTTCTTTGTCTTCTCGTTGGCCACAACATACACGTCTTTGCCTTGAGTAAAAGCAGAGAACACGCCAGCTTTACGCTTCACTTGTGACGCGTAGATCGCACCGTCCACGACACTCCACACTGTCGTGTCCTTAGATTCCGTAATGGTGTCAGAAAGTGGGACGAACAGTTCATTGTCGGTCACGTACTCCTTAGGAGCATCAGCCAAGTAGTTCTTGACACGGTCCTTGTATGGAGTGATAAAGCCCGCAAGCACTAGAGCTTCAGCAATCTCCTTAGCACGTGGGCGGTATGGTGACGGCTCCTCCTTCTTCTTCTTTGAGGCCTTAGGAGACACCTTAGGTGAAGCTTTCTCTTCTTTCTCCTCTTTTGGAGAAGCCTTCTCTTCCTTCTCCTCCTTGGGAGAAACCTTCCCATCCTTCTCCTCCTTTGGAGAAACTATCTCTTCCTTAGGAGAAGCCTCTTCCTTCTTAGGGGCTTCAACTTTTCCTTTGCCGTTTCCTCCGGAGCCTCTTCCTCCGTCTTACAAGCCTCTTCCTCGACCTCCTTCTTCTCGACTTCAACAACGGCCTCTTCGACTTCTTCAGGCTTTAACCACTTTTCCAAAAAGTCCACAAGTTCTTTCCCACGGACACTTTGTAACACTTTAATAAGCGCCGAGTGATGCGTCGTAAAGACTTCACTCTTCTTCTCCACTAGAAACGTCTGAGCTTCTGTCGTTTGGGCCACGAGGTCCTCAGCAAGCGCATTAAAAGCGGCCTGTCGGGCAATTACACGGCCTTGAACATTTGTACCCATTTCAATCTTCTTCTTCTTGACTTGTTTTTTATGACTTGGAAACGGATGTGCGCACTTGGTGGCAAGTTGAGGAATGACACAGGTCTAGTCCTTGCGTAGGGAGGGCTTCAACATTGGGGCGACAATGCAGCAGCGAGGTATACAGTGTATACAGAAGCAACCCATCAAACCCTTCGTGGTCCTGCAAGTGTACAGACGGGGCTGTGTTTGAATCCAGTCTCAAAGGGAGAAGCGACACGCTTACAAAGAGGAAATGGAGAGCTTGTACCCAGCATGAAATTAATTCTTGGAGGTACGGTCAGAAAGGACAGACCAGACACAGCAAGTCCCCTGCGACAATGCGGGGAAAGTACAGCCATATTGCATAGCCAGGGTGTCGGTCGAGTGTATACTCACAAACATTCACTTGACAGTCGTGCTGCCCCGCACATGCCTTTTGTTAAGACAATCGTAGAGTACATCTACTTGTATTAACATCATTTGCAACAGGGTTTTTGGTCGGTCTGATGTCTCCTGCTACTGTTCTGGAGGCCACGAGTGCCTTGCATCGTCGCACATTCTCGTGACGTCTCTATCACACATAGTTTTGCACAGCAGGTCCTGCGTGGGGTCGACGGTCGACGTATCGCTAGCAGCACGCCTTTCCGACTCTAGTCTTGTCACCAGACTCGTGGATGTTAGCGGTCGTTGCTTCAATATCGTCTGTTCGTGCTTTAGAGCTAGAGGATGTACTCCTGATTTAGAATTGCTGAACTTGTCCACTAACTCCACCGTTTTGTCAACCGAGGACAACATATAATGCACAAGAGTCTGTGTCAATTCGCGACGTGGTGATACATATTGTCGCAAAATGCAACGGGGAGACAGGGGCAATAAGTCGGTGCGAAGAAGATGCGATCAGCCATGGAGCATTGAGTGTATACAGTATTCCTGCAGCTGCGTGCTCGATTTGTCGTCTTTCCTCATCGCGCTGGTTTCTGGTCGTCATGCACAGCATCGATGACAAAGCGTGTCGAGGCACGTGGCATGTCGCTCATGGCTACTATGGAACGAACATTCTCACCATCTCACGCCGATATCAGCTGGCAATTTCAATACGTAAGCGGCACGACCGTGGGGTTTGTTGCCTTCATTTATGGCATTGATCACGGTAAGTGAACCGTTTTATAAGAAAGTGATAGCAGGAAAGTAGACTAGATTTATTATTGCAGAGGCATCAATGCAATCGAACTCGACGTCCATGTGCTGGAAGAAGCCAGGTAAATGTTGTTAGCACAGTCATCTGAAACAAATATCGTATTAGTTAGTTGACGTGTGGCTGACTAATTGCGACAAGTAGATCGGCCTTTTAAGTGCTCGACTAGCACATGATGCTAAGTGCCTACTGTTGACCATGTTGTTGTCACTTTGTAAGCTGAGCATCTTATCTGAGCTATGAAAATGCATGAGGCAACTCAACGTAAAGTTCTCGGTTTCCAAACTTTATACAAGACGTCTAGCAATTTTCACTGCGTGTAGTGGTTGGCAACGATGCCGATTGACAAGGAAAACATTCAGTAGCCCCTTTTTAGCCATAGCTCGTGAACATAACAATCGCTTTCTTACATATCAGCAGGAACGTAGGACGGTCTCACACTCGCATGTGTGGAGTAACGATACACGTCATCGCAGCAATTCTTGCAGATGGTGCGAATCTTGACCTTCTTTTGATGATGCTGGCTCAGGCTAAGGCGACGTCGGCCCAAGCCACGACCACCATTACTCGCTCGAGTGTTGCTTACCAAATTCATCTGTATGCTGGTTCGGCCATTGTCAAAGCTGTCAACCGAGGCCTGAAAGCCGCACTTGCGACACAGCGCGACCGAGTGACAGATATCGCACATATACCTCTTCCGAAAAAATCCGAAATGTTTGCCACAGTGACTGCATCCGGTGGCCTCCTCGTCAATGCCGCTGCTAGAGCGCGAAATGGGCCGAAAAGTGCTTGGAACAGATGTATGGATCGAATTCGGCCGCCGCATCATGTCCATGCTGCTGTGTGTACGCGTCAAGTCGCCAGTTCTAGCGTTTGTGCTCGAAGTGGTAGCGTTGAGCATACTGCCACGCTGACCAGGATCCACTACCACAGATGGCGACGAGCTAGACGTCGACGTGGAAGACTGCCTTGGAAACATAGAGATGCTGACTGCGGAAGTAACTCCCTCCGACGACTTCTTAATTCGCTTGAGGCGATAGCTTCGAGATTGTGTACCTTGGACACCCATGACACTTGCGCGCATAAGAACATACACCGTCAAAAAGCACGCGACAATGAGCCCTAGAGAGCGCAATCCCTCCGCGTTGAGCATCCCAACGGAATCTAGCAAAGCATTTGATGATCGACACAATGTCCTCTTGCTATTCATGACTCGATCTGCCCGTGTCCATTGATACTCGTACGCACTCGTCACATTATCTCTGCTGATAGCCTGTACACGGTATCCATATCTGCGTCCGTACTGGACGTCTACATCCACAAATTCGGATGTATTTTCATCCAAAAATGTACTCCATCGTAACTGATTCTCTCGGTCCGGATATCGCTGCAATACATAGCGTTCAACGGGCCACAAGAGTGTCTCAAAGCTGCGCCAACGCAGCAATACTGCATCATCCGTTCCAGCAGCTACTAATAGCGGTGAATGCGGGAACCGAGGGTCTGAATACATACAATAATATTAATTTTTACAGTAGCTCCACAAAAAACAATTGCAAATAGTTGCATACATTTGCGTTCATGGATTGCAAAAGGTCCAGGATTGTCATTAACTCCACATTCAAGGCACATGAATGGGCCCATTGTTTCGTACAGTGTCTTTACTCCTGGCACTACCAGAATCAATTCTAACAAGTCGCATATTGTGTTAAACCTCTGACAATTAATTATCAATATGAGACGTTCTATATTATATACCTTCAATGGATAAAGCTTGGACACCAATGTGAAGACTAAGGCTGTAGAATGATAATAGCAACAGGGACGTGATGTAATTGCTAGTCATAAGCATGGACAACCGCTGGATACGGAATGAAGCGAGTGAGGTGTGGGTCGAGAGCTCCTCTCCCTTCTATAACATGTGAGACTTCGCTCAGAACAAGTGTATTTGATTGGATGAAAATGTTTTTTTTGTAAAAGCGTGGGCGATTGGACAACAGCCGTCCTCACATCAGTGTGCATAAATGGGTGAGTAGAACAAATTACATATTGAGTAGAACTTTGCATAATTAGTGCATTACATTTTTCTATAGAAAGCTACTATGAAGAATAGAGCAGCATCTGCATAGAAATAGAAACATAAAATATTCATTCTGATCCTTGGAATAGGCGACCTCTGAGCCGGTTTTGCACATGGCAGAGATACACCCTTTTTTGTCCTGATCCATTACAAACCAAAAACTTGCCTAGACTGATACCGTTTCTTAACGGGACTAAAAATAGTATCAGTCACCACGACGACACAAGAACTGGCCAGTAGTAATACTTACTACTGTATCCTAGAATATTACTTTAGACAAATATTCATGTACCTGTTTCATGTATCTGCTACTAAAAAAGGTTATCAGTTAAAACAGCTCCGCAACATTCCATTCGAAAAAGCACTTATTTAGCAGGTAAGAGCGAAGACTTTCATACAGGAATTCAATTTAATGTTGTAAGTTGGCAACTATATTTATAGTTATAATGTCATGGCTGCCTAGGTAGATGCTGCTACAATCGACTCTGACACTCACCTTTTCATTCGTCCGAGGCCTTTTGGGCCAACAACGTCTTGACATCCTCTTCAAATGACAGTGGACGGTCCTTTGGTGCAAAACGCTTGAACGGCTGACCATTGCGGTCTACCAAAAACTTGGTGAAGTTCCACTTGATGTAGTTCCCGAACGTCCCAGGCAGCTTTGCCTTGAGGTACGTGAACACCGGACGAGCCGTTGCGCCATTCACGTCATGCTTCTCAAAAAACGGGAACGTCACATTGTACTGCTTTACGAACTCCATAATCTCTTCGTGTGTGCCCGGCTCCTGACCAGCAAACTGATTGCATGGGAACGCCAGGACCTCCAGACCCTCGTCCTTGTACTTTGCATACAGCTGTTGCAGCTCCGGGTAGTTCGTGGGCGTCAGACCGCACTTGCTCGATACGTTCACGGCCAACACCACTTTGCCCTTGTACTTGGCCATTGACACTTCGTTGCGGGCCATGTCAAAGTCTTTCAGCTCATAGAACGACTTGATCTTGGCCGTGTCTTCCATGTTAAACACCTCTCGGTACTGTGCACCAGCGTTAATAAATGCATTGAGCCATTCCTCCTGTTTCTCCTTGCTCTCAGCAGCAAGAGTCTCCGTAATGGTACCGTTTGACAGCTTTATACCGCTCGTCATAGACGTATCAAACTCGACATTTGCATCAGATGAGAGGTCCACAATAGCAAGAGGCGTGGTCTTGTTCGTCTCGGATTCAAATACTGTCACGTTCTTGAGTTTATCATTGGCCTCCACGTAAACGAGCTGTTTGCCACCCGTAAGTTTGGCAAATAGACCAGCGCGCTTGCGGTACAAATTGCCGGCCTGGATCACGCCTTCAGTCTTGTTCTCTGTGCTCATTTGATCTCTTTCGAGTTAGGAAAATTCGGAATTGAGCGATTACGAGTGATCTTTTCATAGGTTTGGATTCCTCTGTGACATGATATGACTTGCAAAAATTATACCGATGAAGGACTGGATGAAAAGCGACACTATTTTGTGGGAAATACGTAAGCATGGAGAATCCACTAGCTCAATTCATTGAGCTTAAGTTAAAAGTAACCGTTGCGGTAGAGAGATGTGGCTTATTTTTTGTAGTAGGTGATAGGTTTTACCTGGCCGTGCGACAATTGATTCTGATTTATATAAGGTATCATCTATTATATTACAGAAGGTGCTTTATCTCTATTATTAGCAATTGATAAAAAACAAAAATATATTTTAAATAGATTTTGAGAAGCGTTAGAGGTCTCGTTAATGGGCCCACGTTGTCTAATGTTAATTTTGGGTAGAATGTCAAATGGGAACATCTTATGTTGAACTTACCTATAACGTCACATTGTTATCACATCGCTCTGAGCCTGTACGTTTAGCTCCATCTTACAGCCTACACCATCAGCGTATTCGTTCGTCTCGTCCACACCTCAAGAATGTGTTAGAAGCTATTGTTGTTGACAGGTCGTGAAGGTCAAACGCAATACCCTGTCACGAGGTAAGTAACAACCGTATCTGATTGACTAAACAGACTTGACGTGCTGACAGATGGGACGAGGCGACGATATCGCCACGTCGGACCATCAGGATGTTGCGACATATGGGACGAGGCGACGAGATTACCACATCGTCTTGTCGATGTCGTAACAGATGGGACGGAGCGGGATAGACGTGAACTATAGATGGTATAGTTGCAGTCGGTTTCGCATGCATGTGTAGGTATTAACGAACGAGGAAAGTTAATGCGTAATATATATCACTTTTACTTCTACCTCTACGTGCACAAGTGCACCACTACTTCACTTCATTCTTACAGGTTATGAGCCCAAAAAATCGTGACGGCGGCGCAGCTCAAGGAGCCACACCCGCTGTGGTGGTCAATGGTCAAGGATCGACCGAGGACCACCAACTGGAAGAAAAGTCGGCAGTGCCCGCGGCGGCACTGGACAAGATGCTCGCCATGCTTGGCGATTTGTCGGAGCGGATGGGTAGGATGGAATCCTCCCAACACGGACAAGTCGGTGGCCAACGCAAGGAACCTGCGGAATCGAGCGTCTTTGGTTCGGTTCTCGGTTCAGGGGCCGGTATAACACTCCAGGCTTTGGAGCGTACCCCGCCACCTAAGCGATCACCGAACGTCTCGCCGGCCACTTATTTTGGTGCCCGACGACCTGCTTTGGCCGGGGATCACATGGTCGACGCGCCGGCCCAGGCCAATGTCAACCACGGAATGGCTCAAGGACTTGAGCCTGGAATTCATGGGCATGCCATGCCCGCGGAAGCATACCCGGGAATGCAGATGCCAGGTCCTGTGTTACACCAACCTGGGCAAGTACACCAGGGTGTACCGGATGGCCGTCAAAGGAAGCTGGCTTTGCAGCCTTTCGACGAAAAGGAGCTCTACCTCGGACTTGGTAGTGGCTTCATTGAATGGGGGAAAGAATTTGTTCGGCAGGTTGCCTTTTCGGAACGCGCCTGTAGCTTTGCATGGCCTGAGGACATTAAGGTTGATGTCCTCGGCCAACACCTGGCTGGTACGGCGCAGAAGTACTATCGGCGGCAGGTGGAAACTTGGTGGTCTGAAAGTCCGACCTTGGAGCATGCAATGCAAAGGTTACTCCAGACCTTCAACACCAAGATAACACCTGCCCAAAGCATGAAGCTGTTTACTGCAGCCAAGTCATCTCAGCGTAGCTGGACGGAGCATTTTCTGTACCTGACAGCTGTAAGCGATGCGTGCGGAGGTGCGGACAACCTCGTGCTAGACAACATCGTGCACTATGCCGACCCGTCTATGCGGCCGACCATGTTGTCTCGCCTGAATTTAAGCAGGGTCGATTACCTTCGCCAAGCTGAAGAGCTCTCCCAATTTGCTCAGTCAACGGAACTGGAAGTTCGCGTGAAGCATTTCGGTCGAGATGTCGTTAACATCGTCGAACCGAACAACCAACCTAAGCGAAACGACCGGAACAAGAAACAACATGGTCCGCAACGACCCAAGCAGTGTTACCTGTGTGGGAGCACCGGGCACCTCAAGATGACCTGCCCAAAAGGTACCAAAAAGAAACAAGATGCGGATTTTGTATTGGCAATTCCAGGACATCGGACGATCTCATCAAATCACTGGGTGCTAGACAGCGGCTCAGGTCGTCATCTGATTAACGATTTAAACTTGCTGGAAAATGCGGTGGATTGTAAAACCGAATGTTTTACTGCAGCATCGGATAGTGAACCACTTCGGATCACCAAACAAGGAAGCGTCGTGATCCGGGTCAAAGCACTTGGATTGACTAAGACCATTCGTCTTCTCGATGTTCAATACGCCTCCAATTTGGAGTGCAACATCATCTCGTTTGGGAAACTCGAGTTGAAGGGATGCGTTCTTGAATACCGAGAAGGGGGGCGTGTCATGGTATCACATTCTGGTGGGATACCTATAATGGATGTTGATCGCATCAACAATGTACTGGTCGTTGAAGTTTTCAATGGAATTACGACCGATGATTTTCGTGGATTTGGGTCACCAAGAGAAGCGATCATGACGGTTGTTGAAGACATTACAAACCATGCAAAGAACGACACGCAACACGGATCCCTGTCCTATTTTCATCGGTGTCTAGGTCACCTGTCCTATGAAGATGGCTCGGGATCCCGCCTCTGGTATCCAATTGACTGATACCACGCGTGTCAAGTGCTTAGCCTGTGCGCAAGGCAAGCAGACAAAAAACCGACAATCGCGGAAGGACAGTGGGCTGAATTCGCCCATTGACGTGATCGGAGGCGTAGTATGTTCAGACCTAAAAGGTCCTATGACCCCCCGTGATCGGCTCGGAAATCGATACCTGGTCAATTTTATTGACCACAGGTCGAACTACTGCCGGGTGTTCTTAGCGAAGACCAAAGATGCCGCTGCGATGCATTTCAAGAATTTCTTGGTGGCTTTTGAGCGTCAATTTAATTGCCGTATACACGTTTTACGTACAGACAGTGGAGGTGAGTACAAGCCTCTGGATGTTTTTTGCAAGGAAGTCGGTGTCACTCGTCAGGTGAGCGAACGTGACAATCAGGCCAGCAATGGCAAAGCTGAACGCATGCATCGCACCATCATGAACATGGTGCGAAGCATGGTGTTTGCAAGTGGGTTACCCTTGATGTTTTGGGGTGACGCTGCAGAATATGCAGCATACATCCTAAATCGAAGCCCTACCAAGGCAAACGTAGGTGGCATCTCACCTATTGAGATGTTAACCAAGAAAACACCCGTCTTAAGTGACATTGTGGTTTTCGGATCTCCATGCACCGTGCACCGAACGACTTCAAACAAGTCGTTGGGTCCTCGGGGAAAACAAGGTATCATCATCGGCAAGAGTGATGAAATGAAAGGATATCGGGTTTTCATACCGATGGAACGTATCGTGGTGGTGAGTCAACATGTGAAAAATGTTGAGATGTTGGATAACATACAAGAGAAAAACGTGACCAAAACGTTACATGGTACCGAAGGTCAGGAGGAGCTCGGTGACCAAGGTGGCACGAGCAAATCAAGGGCAAAATCATCGGAATGGAAACGTGATCCACACATGACACGGTCACGTCGAGCTGACGGAGACACATCAAGTGATGTCATAGACATACACAAGAATGTCGGCATGGTCAACGTTGTTCGAGACCCAAGAAACTATGGCGAGGCCGTACGGAGCGACAGCAAGGATAAATGGGCTGTAGCCATCAAGGACGAGCTGCATGCATTGGAGGAAAACGGTGTGTGGGCGGTTGTTGTTCCACCTGACAACGCCCACATACTGCACAACAAATGGGTCTTCAAGACAAAGACCGACGCCGATGGGAAAGTCGAACGCTACAAGGCCAGACTTGTTGCATGCGGAAACGAGCAGTTGTTTGGAGTCGACTACACCTTGACTTTTGCGGCGGTTATGGAACTTGGAACAGTCAAGGTGATTCTGGTCCTCTCACGCAGATGGAACGTACCGGCTCGGCACGGCGATGTGCCAAACGCATACGTCAAGGCCGATCAAGAAAAGGACCTCGACATCTACATGAAAATGCCAAGCGGTATGCAAGTCGATGATGACACCTTGGCCCATCATGGAGTGGACGGGACAAAGCAACTCGCGCTGTTGCTTAAGAAATCCTTGTACGGATTAAAACAAGCTGGAAGATTATGGAGCAAGCTACTGCACTCCAAATTAACTGAGTTGAATTTCAGACAATGCACGACGGACATGTGTCTATACGTCAAACGAACCGGCATAGATGTAACGGTCGTCGGAGTTTACGTCGACGATTTGCTGGTGACTGGAACATCGAATGATCTCGTCGGACAATTTTTCAAGGACATGACGCCTCTCGAGATCAAGGACCTCGGGATGGTGAACAAGTTTCTCGGACTTAGGGTCAAGCTGGACGAAAACGAAGGCTACGTGTTAGATCAAGAAGTAACCATCGACTCAATGCTAAAGGAACATGGACTAGCTACATCTAACGGGGTTCGATCTCCAATAGGAGACGAATGCAATGACGTCGATGAGACGAAATCGGAGTCCCTGAAGTCGATCGCCAAAGCTGGAGATGCAAGTGTCAAGGCCTTCCAATCACTCATCGGAAGTTTACTCTGGATCGCGCGTTGCACTCGACCAGACATTTGTTTCGCAGTACACCGAGCAACTCGACAGACTCACAAGCCGACAACCAAGGATTGGAGAACGGTGAAACGAGTCGCAAGATACCTGAAGGAAACCAAGAGTTTGAAGTTGTGCATCAACAGCTCACGCGGTATGGACGACCCAATCAAGATTGAAAGCTGGAGTGATGCAGACTTTGCCGCGGACAAGTCGGACCGCAAGTCAGTCACGGGATACGTTCTCACGATGGATGGTGCTGTCGTGTCATGGGCGTGCAAGAAGCAGACAGGTGTGTCGCTGAGCACCATGGAAGCTGAGTTCATCGCGGCATCCCACGCTGGTCGCGAGCTGTTGGGTTTGAAGGAACTGTTTGGTGAATTGAACATGAAGATCGTCAAGCCGATGCCGATGTGGATGGATAATCAAGCCGCAATCAACTTGTTGAAGACCGAGAAAAGTTCATCAAGTGCAAAGCATGTGGACGTCCGATTCAAGTTCATCTGCCACTACGCACAAGCAAACGAGGTTGAGCCACGCTTCATCAAGTCAGAAGAGATGATTGCTGATCTCCTAACTAAAGCGCTGGCAGCACCAAGGATGAAGGACCTACGTGCGATGTTCAAGTTGAAGAACCCTCAGGATACGGTTGAGGAGGAGTGTTAGAAGCTATTGTTGTTGACAGGTCGTGAAAGTCAAACGCAATACCCTGTCACGAGGTAAGTAACAACCGTATCTGATTGACTAAACAGACTTGACGTGCTGACAGATGGGACGAGGCGACGATATCGCCACGTCGGACCATCAGGATGTTGCGACATATGGGACGAGGCGACGAGATTACCACATCGTCTTGTCGATGTCGTAACAGATGGGACGGAGCGGGATAGACGTGAACTATAGATGGTATAGTTGCAGTCGGTTTCGCATGCATGTGTAGGTATTAACGAACGAGGAAAGTTAATGCGTAATATATATCACTTTTACTTCTACCTCTACGTGCACAAGTGCACCACTACTTCACTTCATTCTTACAGAATGCCGAGCCCAAGTGGGTCCAGTCCATGCGTGGCTCTGTTTACGCCTAGCGGGTCTCTATCTCGCCCAAGACATCATCCACTGCATTCGACTTGCAACTTGTACCTTAATGAAGCCGTTGCCGCCTTTGGACCAGGTCCAGCGCTGATCTGAGATGACATGGTGAAGCACTTGAAGCATAAATTGCTGGAAACGCTGGTGGACGTCGTGAGAACGCTTGAGTAGCTTACAGACAATGTAGTGGACTTTTAGCTGGGTTTCCTCTGTGATAACCCTACGCGTTATGTAGAGATGCTGCAATAGATGGACAAAAGGCAGCGGTTGAATATCACGTAGACATTCTTCTACAAGTCTGCGGTACGTGTAAATGGAAGCATGTCAATATAAAATGATTAGCTGTTTTAGTGTTATGACAAGATGTTTTTGTTGTTGTTGTGTTTAGGATTATGAATGCTTAGGAAAACCTGAGCCCGGAGTTATTCATCAAGATGCAGGTTTGTGAAGTGTCACGAGGAGAGGCAACAAGAAACGGCTTGGACATCGAAGTGACAATGTATGGCCCATGATCCTGGCACCCGCGGCTTACGCATGTTTACACATTGTGTATAGACACAGTTGGTAATCAGGCATTTGGCATATCCACACATGACAATGAAGTGTAAGCAGTGAAGGTGATCGATAGAGAAAGCCGATGCTGAAGAAAAGTAGCGTCGTCTAACTAAAAAGTAATAACGATTCTGTCATTGTGTTTGCAGTTTTATTTAGTTTTTGGTTATAGATTTCCATTGAACGATTTCATCTAATGCTTTTACGCCTACTGCTACTGCTACTGCTACTGCTACTGCTGGTTGGTACTAATGTTCTTGCTTGTTCCAAGGATGAATATGCAAGCTGTGGATGTGGTGCAAGACTAGTATTGATGGGTAAAGTGATCATTATTATCGACGACCTCCTCCTACTAAATAATGAGTAAAAAGAATTTAACCAGTTATAATTGGACAAATTTGGGAGTGTGGGCCAAATAATGGACGCTACTTTATATAACTACTACAGGTGTGGACTCAGTAGTTTGTTTCACTATCAATACAACATGAGTATTGATTAAGTAAACAATTTAAAAAAAGTTAGTAGAGGATAGCTAATAATTGAATAGCTCATGATTCTGTGGCTTTATCTGCTATCCTTTCTCTTTCAATGCATTTCTATCTATCTATGTTAGTTACCCTACTGTTCCTGCTCCCGTGTCCATTCACTGACCGAAACTACTACTTCGCTCTGGCTCAACCTTGATTTTGTCACTACCTGTACCTGTGCTTGTGCACAACTGACAGCCGTTCCTGCACGCATGTTGATACTCATTAAGATTTCCTCGCTATCATCACCAAAGCCTCTTCGCTTTCATCACTTTTGCCAACCTTTTTATCTCTAAATTGCAAGACTAGATCACATACTACAAGAACATAAGTATTTCACAGCCAAAAAAAATAATATACATCCTTATTAATTTTTATTAACAGATTACATGAAAAATAATACTATACATGATAAATTACCTGGGTAAATAACGCGCAAATTTTTTTACCAAAGATGTATCTTTGTAGATAGACTTATTGGCTTGTCCCTGTAAACAATTCTCAGTTTTTTTCCGCCAATCAACGGTCTCCATTTTAAAGAGCTTCAAAGATATGTCGAAAGCTCTCCAAGGTCGTGTCTTCGACCTGTGGCGCCACTTCCAAGCACTCCCAACTGGATTGCAACGAGAAGTGACGCTGATCCAGGACCATTTACTATCACCTGACGTCAACAAGCAGCTTTTTACGTCAAAATCGTCCATTTCTGGCTTCCCACAAGTCTCTGGCGACGTTCTTTTACGTTTTATTACTCAAAAATTAGAGCAAAACTCTGATTCTAATGATTCTACAAGCTACGCTGCAAAAGTGGTCGATGGTTTAGTACAAAGCGGTTTTATAACGCCTAAAACGGACACGAACGATCTAAAACACTTTGATTTTTACACCAAAAATGCAGAATTTCTGGGAGTTGGCAGTGGACTCGTTGACGACGAGACAAAATCGGTCTGGAGTGTCAAAGAAGGAGCGATACAAGCAGGAACTTTGTATCGCAAAAAAGAGGGATTTCTGGCGAAATTATTAGGTGGTCAAGAACCTTTTTACGTTGTGGCCAATGACAAAAACAAAGCTGTGCACGTTTTCGAGTCGGACGTGGCTTTAAAGTCACTCAACGATATCGATCTGGCTGTTGATGCTACGGTGGCGTTTAGTGATGACATGTCATATGGTATTAAGCTGTCTAACGGTACAACTACGGAGACTCTTGCTGCTGAGAGTAAGGAGAAGCAGGAGGAATGGCTCAATGCATTCATTAACGCTGGTGCACAGTACCGAGAGGCGTTTAACATGGAAGACACGGCCAAGATCAAGTCGTTCTATGAGCTGAAAGACTTTGACATGGCCCGCAACGAAGTGTCAATGGCCAAGTACAAGGGCAAAGTGGTGCTAGCCGTGAACGTATCGAGCAAGTGCGGTCTGACGTCCAAGAACTACCCGGAGCTGCAACAGCTGTATGCAAAGTACAAGGACGAGGGTCTGGAGGTCCTGGCGTTCCCATGCAATCAGTTTGCTGGTCAGGAGCCGGGCACACACGAAGAGATTATGGAGTTCGTGAAGCAGTACAATGTGACGTTCCCGTTTTTCGAGAAGCATGACGTGAATGGCGCAACGGCTCGTCCGGTGTTCACGTACCTCAAGGCAAAGCTGCCTGGGACGTTCGGGAACTACATCAAGTGGAACTTCACCAAGTTTTTGGTAGACCGCAATGGTCAGCCGTTCAAGCGTTTTGCACCAAAGGACCGTCCACTGTCATTTGAAGAGGATATCAATACGCTGTTGGCTCAAAAGGCCTCGAAGGAGTGATTGATGAAGGTTGATGGGGGCACCGGTGAGAATGAAGAAAGTGAACATTTCTATAATGCAATAACTTAGCAACACTGAAGAAGATGCAGCCGAAGAACGAATGAATGGTTAGGAGACTTGTTGCTGCCACGCATAGGAAGAAAAACTGCACAATTAAATGAAATTGTTTTGCAGCAAACATCAAATATAGCAAAAAAACAAAAAAACAAGCTTACTGCATCAAAATGATCGACTCGGGAACGCTAGGTATACGAACGACGATTCAAAACAAAAACATTTTTATATTCCTTGCTTTTTTGCTACGTAAACCCCGTTTTCTTAAATGTTGGTCCCTGTCCTTCGGAATCGATTCCGTGGTCATCCTCTCTCTTCGTTCCCTCACGGTCCAAACACTCGCAATCATTGCCCCTTCATTCCAAAGAGACCGGCGTCATGTTTGGAGGTCTTTTGTCTACATAGCAACACATATTTAATCTTTCTTGTCGCTCACCACCGCTGCCCGTCCCTCATGCTTCCACATCCTCCACACGCTTGTACGCCTTGACGTACACCGCTTATACATCATTTCTTTCTTCCTTTTTTCTTCCTTTATTCCTTCGCATGCCCTTCAAGCGTCAGCTGTCAGCAGCTCACATGATTCCCATTACCGGTGAGGTTGCCTACTGTCGGCATTCCCACCTTAAGCCCGTATTTTGGGCCCGAGAATGGGTATATGACTAGCAACAGAATACGTCACACCCCGCACCATGCCAAACGTCGACGACGATGCGTGCTTCACCTGAGACCCTGCATACTCAGCCACACCAATCACCACACCAATTGCTGCACCTGGTGCTGCAACGACCTTATGTGCCGTGTAACTCGTCGCACGGACGGCTGTGCTTCCCGTTTTACGAGCCACCGTCGACACGCCATGAACTGCCTTGTTCTTTGTCCTAACCGCCATCTGTTGACCTTCATACAGCTTCGTAAACGCTACAGAAATGGTCGAATCCACCTTATTATCCATAGAATCAAGCATTGGCACCATCAACGACTGATCCACATCATATAACGTCTTGCCCAAGACTGTAGCCAAGACCGTATTCACCGTTCCTTCTCCAAGACGAGCAAATGGCTTTACAATCCGAAAACTCGTCGTATAGTCATACACATTCTTCGTCGTGTCGTAATAATACGAAGCACGCATAAACCACGGACGATGCGTCTCAGCAGCTGCCAACGTCGACTCTTTCTTTGTTTGCGTCCAATCCGTACCAAAGATAACACGCGTCTCCTTCGCCGATGACACAGGGCCAGAGGTAAACGTCAACGTCTCGTTCTGAAGTCCCTTCATAAAGTCCTGTAGTGTGCGCTTAGTAGACACCAATGGCTTGTCTTGATTCTGTCCAAGCACTTCAATCGTTACTTCTTCATATTCCGTCGTCCTGTCCACGTCACTGTCGTGATCAAATTGATTGAGAAAACAAGGGACATCAAATCAGCCCTCTCCCTACCCTTTATATATCTATGCTCAATGATAGGTTCTATACATCACGTACAAGTGCAACGTTTCCTCAATCTTTTCATCAGCCGACACGTATTTCGTGTGGCGCTCCTTGTCTCCCAGTACAAAACGGACACTATACTTGTCGCCTGACTTTCCCCCTTCAAATCGATCGACTGCAGACAATAAAAACGAGTCAATACAAAGGCAAAAAGGACTTCAACGTGACAGAAAACAAGGCACACCTTTGACAGTGAGTGTACCGGACACAACCATCTTTCTTCCCCCTCCCCAAAGACTTTGTGCTTAGATGGCCAAACTGGAAATGAATAGCGTCTACGACGAAAATGGATCGACTATTGGCCTCGCTCTGTCAGTCATCAACGGAACTTTCCGGTTGCTTGCCCCACACGTTGCTTGCCCCACACCCTCTCGCGTGTGGGAGATGGGCAATACGTCGCGTCTCTTCTGTGATTTCTCACTTGATTAATGTATACTACCGAGGGACATCTCTTGACCTCGGGTTGCCCCAGTAGTAGGACTGTTAGTTCGCCTGCTTCTCAAGGCACTATCACAGCTTGAAGCTGTCTCACCCTCACGTCTCAGTATAAATAACGGTTGATGGCGAGTTTTAATGGTAAGGGGTCATGAAAAAGTATCCGTCACGACCGTTTCTGACATGGAAATTTGACACGTAACTCAGCGTCGGGCGCGTCATGGTGTCAGTTGTCGTCTCGTATGTTTACAAAAACACAGAAAGTGGATACTTATACAAAGATCACGTCAGTTTCCTTAGTTGAAGGAGAAAAGATCGCGCTAGCTTTATGGTGGACAGTTAGCACCAACTAAAAAAAGGAAGCGTCGCGCGGCAGAGGCTGTTACTTGATAAAGCTGCTATTCAACACATGCAAAACGCCTCTACAATGATTTAGACCGTCATCTGGATGTCTGCTTGCTGCCGCAGTTGCTCGACCTGGCGTTGAACCGTTGTCTGCTTTACTGGGAACCTTTAGTGCCGCCCTGTCTGAGACCTTAGTAGCTAGAGCAGTGACTCAACCCAACGCTCGCTCTACTGATGGTAGCGGCCATGGCGATTGCTTGCAAAGTAATTGAGACTGGGCCATGAATCCCCTTTTTCAAGCAAAAGATGATAATAATGTTCATTGACTTTCCGTTAGGAAGTATGAAAGCGTACATCCATCAAGGGCAGACTGCCGCCACTATCATTTAAAATTAGTGTATCGCTGTCATACTGGCAAGTAAGTGTCGACGAGCCAAATCTACTGGCTCATAGTGACCGTTCCTTTTGGTCACTCTTATGCAACCTTCACCATCCATCCTGACGTTGTCGACACAGCAACCAAATCAGAGCAGAAAAAAAGTACAGCACAGTATCCATGTTTAGCCCAACTGCTGTCAGCAAACTTCTACCTTTTCGCTTGGACGCTTTAGAGTGTTCAGGTGCGGCAAAAACTGCTCTTTCCGACCAGCTGCCGCAGCACTAGACGCTAGAATGCGTGTCTGCGCTCTCACACTGAGTAAACGTCATCACATCAAGGCGCTATTCACAGCCAGTGTGCGCCACATCGATGACGCACAGCGGTGACACGAAGGTAGCAAATGAGTCACTATTTTGACGCACCTAACCCGTTTGTCAGATTTCATCGGCACAGCAACAATGGCGTCATCGCTCCTATATCACGGCGGCAGACCATTTTTGGTGCTGTTTTCAGTACCAAGAGTTGCCTCCGCTGTACACATTTAGACGCTCTTGGGTGATGAATCATCTCTTGGTGAAGAAACATGGCATCCGTCGAGAATGTTGGTCCTGCGCTTGCACTGATAGAGCGTTAAAGACCGGCCATGCACCTTGAAGTTGTCAAATGCGTACGGTGCATCACGCCTTCAGTCGAGAAAAATCCGGAAGATCGAAGGCGTTTTAACATATAAAAACCAGATATTTCAATTGAAAGGGGGCGGCTCCAATCCACTGCGTTTCACTATAGACCTCTACAAAAATATCTTTCGCTCTTCACTTTCCATTTTCGTCCGTCAAGCAAACATCACATTTTGTCATTATGCCGACATCTGGAACTCTATCCATTCAATTGCACAGCATTGAAGCCACTTTTGGTGAACAGGAGCTCGCCACGAAGAAATTAGCCGTGCGTTTTGCTGTAGGTAAAGTTGAGTACATTACCAAGTACAGAAAACACGACGCTAGTGTTGATGAGCTTGCAACGCTTTACATTCACGAAGCTACAGCCGATGCGAAGCTGAGTATTGAGCTACTGCATGAGAAGAAGAAGAAGGCCATTGTAGATACCCAAAAGCTACTAGCGGAATTCCAGAGTGACTCAAAGAAACGTAAGACGACGTTTACCTTTGGCCCCAAAGCCGCGCCTAGTACCGTTATCCTTTCGTACACAGTGGACTGGCAATCAAGTAAGACAACGCTCTCTAGATACGAGACTCGTCGGCCATGGTTTATGCGTGTGTCGTACTATTACGACACGACAAAGAATGTGTACAATTACACGACAAGTTTCCGTGTTGTGGCTCCATTTGCTCGCTTTGGAGAGAACACTGCCAATACTGTGGTCGAGAAGGTCAGTGGAAAGTCATTGCACGAGATTGATGAGGCGTGGGTCGGTCCTAGTATCAATGCTCTAGATGATAAGGTAGACGCGACGATCTCGTCGGTAGCTACGACGCTGCAATCTGGTCAACAATACGCGTTAAAAAAGAAAGATGAGGCTGTAGGTGTTGCCTCGTCAGTCGCTAAAACGACGACTGATACAGTGTCAGGAGCGGTGGGAGCGACAGTAAATAAGGCTACTTGTGTCAAGGATTATACGACAGAGAAAGTGGTTGCAGCTTCGTCGAGTGTGTATGGGACTGTAGCTAGTGTCGCGAATTACACGAAGACGCAAGTAGTACACGCTTCGTCGTCTACGTACGGGACTGTAAAGGACGTCACTTTTACGGCGTTGAGTTACGTGCCTGTGATCGGTCCAAAGGTCGCGGTGTAGGTCGATCGAGGACGTGCGAGCAGTCTCGTGTCGATTGGATGTTTATAAGCGAGCGACAGAGCAAGACACCGATCAGAACTAAATGCTCCCGATCGATAGGGAAGCAGTGTAGAGTAAACCTTTGCACATACATGACATTCACTTGCCTCTAGGCATGTTTTTCTTCCACTCATTGGTCCGAGCCTTTTTCTTTTTCAGACCACCCTCGAGTACATCTAGAGCCTTTTGCTCGTCATCAACCAATTCTGTCAAAGAAGGCATCCGTTCGTTAGTACAGCAGCACCTTGTGAACAATGTACACACAAGTAATTAAACCACGTACCAATTGTTGCAGCAGCGTTCCGAAAGTCATTGAACACGTCAGTCATAGCGTCAACAGGTGACAACTTTCGGTTATGCCCCTTTGAAATGGAAAACAATTGCAGGAACGGCTTCTTCTTGTAGGATATCACAAGCATTTCGTCTTCCGTGAACAGGAGCTCGCAAGGCTCATTCGCAAGCAGCAACTGCTCGTCCTCACTCGATATGATCACCTCCTTTAACGTCGATACTCCACTAACAGATACGATCTCGAAAAATCGCACGTACTGGTAGTTTACGAGCACCGCCACAATGTTCGTCTTGTGACAAATCGCCAGTGACACGTTCAGCAAGCTCTTGGCAGCCTTGCGACCACTGTCATTATCATTATCATTAACCTCGTCCAGAGGTTCTACTGACACTTGTACGTCTGGGAGCAGCATCTTCGTTGCCAATAGCTTCCCCGTCATCATATTCCAGAGCTTCAGCGTGTTGTCCATGGACGTCGTAACGACGAGTTCTGGCGTGACAGAACTGCAAGCCAGTTTGGTCAGACTCGCAGTATGGCCCAAGCAGTAGCTTTCAATAATCGTAGCATTTGGAAATCGCGATACACGTAACTTCTCATCACGATCAGCTGTCAGAAGCAGTGACGAATTGTGATTGACAGCCACGTCCGTGACCATGGACGTGGTGTGGCCCAACAGCGTCTTGAGGTCACGGGCCACATCCGGGAAGGGCACAGCTACAGCCTCACCCGTCTTTTGGCCCACAATAACTGCGTACTTGATCTCCCCATTGTCCAGTTTTAAATGACCCACAGTCATGCACGTGGCACTACGAGGCACTGAGCGGGACGCCTTAAGCAGCAACGTCTCGGCCGACAGGTTCAGCTCGTAATACACCAGTCGTCGTTCATCCACGAGCAACAGCAACGCTAAAATCTCCCACCCATGCGGTCGAAACAACTTGATAGCCGTGATACGATTAGCTGGTGCTGCAGGTTTCGTCGCCTGCTTCTTCTTGAGCTTTTCAGCCTGATCCTCATCGTCGTCAGATTCTAAAGCTTCTACCACACCGTCTGCACCCTGCAACACCTCGAAATGAACCAATTTCTTTGTATCTGAAGTGGTTGTAGGAAGCACAAACACTGTCGTATTACGCACTGTCACCACGACGTTATGCGCCGTCGCGACAAAGACACCAGTTCCTACCATTGTTCAGAAAATGACTGGTCTAGCAAACATGGCTACATTGCAGACATGGCTACCTTCTGTATCCACATCATATTTCTATAATTATCCGGAGTATTCTAAATCGATGCTTATTTCTAAAAAGTACAGTAAACCGGTATTCTCAATGTCATTTGGTTCACATAAAGTCACATATTATTTGAGACGAAGCAGCTATTGATGCTCACGAAGAGGTATTTTCTCCATTTTTAGTTTATTGTATTGGCTATCAATTGTGTATCTGTCTGATTATTTTTCTTAGATTCTATCATGCGTCATCAAGGCGTTTACTGTCAGCAATACGTTCTCTCAGTACATTTCGGACTCATTCGTGTGGAGAACTTCGTCAAGAATCTCATGACGGTCAGCGTGTGACTTTAAGTGGATGGGTGGATGCCATTCGTCCATTTGGTCCTATCTCCTTCTTGTCTCTACGTGACCGTCACGGTGTCACGCAACTTGTATTAGAAAAAAAGTTTCTTCAATTGGCGGGTAAGGTAGTAGTAGCAGCTCATTGCAGCTTGAAGGTCTTGAAGTTCCAGTAGCTTTTAAATGGTGTCTCCATGTGTGACATTGTGACAGATGATGTGGTGAGCAAGATTCGCCCCGAGTCGGTCATTCAAGCTTCCGGTATTGTACGAGCTCGGCCGGTCAATATGCGAAACGATAAGATGGCAACAGGAGCTGTAGAGGTCGTGGTGGACAAGATCACGGAATTGAATTCGTGTGTGAATTTGCCGATTCAAGTGTCGACTGGATCTAAAGTGGCCAATGAAGACACGAGACTACGTCATCGATACTTGGATCTGCGTCGTCCTGCGTTGCAGCAGAATCTCATAATGCGCTCGCACATATCGCTGGCTGCACGCAACTTTTTGTGCTTCGAGGGGTTTTTGGAGATTGAAACACCGACGTTGTTTAAAAGCACACCAGAAGGTGCTCGGGAGTTTCTTGTCCCCACGCGCAATAAAGGACTGTTTTACGCGCTGACGCAGAGTCCGCAACAGTACAAGCAATTGCTCATGGTGGGAGGCCTGGATAGGTACTTCCAGCTTGCAAGGTGCTATCGTGACGAAGGCGGTCGTGCTGACCGTCAGCCCGAGTTTACGCAGATTGATTTAGAGATGTCGTTTGTTAGCCGCGAAGACATTATGCACTTGGTGGAGCGTCTAGTGAAGGAGATCTGGAAGTCGGCTGACAAGGAGCTACCTGATCGCCCATTTGTTCGCATGGCCTTCGACGAGGCGATGCACCGCTTTGGTGTCGACAAGCCTGATACGCGGTATGGCATTGAACTTCAGGATGTCGACGACTTACTACAAGACTGCGAGTTTGCTCCATTCAAGACGGCACTTGCAAACAGCTATACAAAGGTCTATAACAATCGTGGAGTAATTCGTGCCATCAATGCGAAGAATCTTGCGAGTGGTGCGTTTTCACGCAAGGAAATTGATGAATTGGAGAATGTAGCCAAGCGCGCATCTAATTCCGCCGGCGCGTTTGTGGTAAAGGTGGACGCTGGAAAGCAGTGGAAGTCTTCTCTGGCAAAGAAGCTTTCTGTTTATGAAATTGATCAGCTCAACGAGCGCCTTGATGCTGAAGAGGGCGATATTCTCATTTTCGCTGCCGGATCATACCACGATGTGAACACACTGCTTGGGCGTCTGCGGACGCACACGTCACGGTTGTTGTATGCTAAGGGCTTTTTGCAGGCTGAACTAGACCCGAATAACTTTCACCATTTGTGGGTGATCGATTTCCCTATGTTTGAGCGCAGTGAAGATGACAATGGGAATCTCTATGCAAATGAAGACAAGGCATCACTGTCAGCGACACACCATCCCTTCACTGCTCCTCGCGCTGACCACGCAATGCTTTTGGACAACATTTTAATTGCAGCAGCAAGAAGTGATGGAAAGAGTTTGCTGGAAGACCCGGAGATCGTCACGAAGCTATTGGACATCACCGCACAGCACTACGATATCGTGTGCAACGGCTGGGAGCTAGGCGGAGGGTCCATTCGTATCCATCAGGCGAAGCTGCAGCAAGCCATTTTTGAAGATGTACTGGAGCTCCCATCGCTGCAGCGTCAGAGTTTTGAGCATCTGCTACAGGCCCTCAGCCAGGGCGCTCCGCCTCACGGCGGAATCGCGCTGGGTCTGGATCGCCTCGTCGCAATCTTGTGTGGTGCGCCAAGTTTGCGTGATGTGATTGCGTTCCCAAAGTCGGCCACGGGCAATGAGCTTATGACTAATGCACCGGGAATTGTGTTACCTGATCAGCTTAAGGAATACCATATCCAGGTACGTCATGACGATGAGTAGATTGATTGCAAGTAATATACTGTCGTTATCGATAGAAGCTGTTGAAAATACTATTCAAGCGACGGAGATTTTAGTTAAATGAGCTGTTGCAAGCAAATGAGACGTTATATATGCAGTACTTCATGGGATTAAACGACAAATCTGTCCTAAAGTATTATCAATTGACGAAAAGGGCGAGTTGACTCATATAGATGCATCGTAAATAAAATTGGGTTTTTTGAGGTGGAATCAGTTTGGTTTCTGGACGGCATTGTAACAAGGTATATATTGTCCCGACCATCTCAGCGAAAGCTGTTTGAAACCTTCATCATTTGGGATTAGAACTTCATGGAAGAATTAATCCCACACCTGATTTCACTAATTCAATTGTAGAACTTTCCAATACTCAGAAGACAACTACACGAGCAACTGGCATTTTAAACTTGCAATACCGGTATTTCTGAATTGTCCGCTTTCTCTTCAACGTCAGTCGTACCTTGTTGCAACCTTCCACACGACAGCGTTCACCTCCGTCCGACGAAAAGAGTCACATTCAATTACCAGACAACTATTGCTACTTCCATACCGTGCTAAATGAAGGCTTTCCATTCTACGCTTACTCCTCCTTCGAACATCCGTTACATCCTCCGTGTGAGATGTAAAATTCCGCCACGCTTGGCGTTCTGGAAATTTGCATCGTTTCGAAAACGTCTGCGAACTAGAGCCACGCATGAAAGTCAACCCAATACATCTACGAGCATTCTCTTCATTACCGAAGCGCAGTGTTGGGGACACGAACGTATTTAAGCGAATGTGCCTGCTTAAGCTTGTGACTGTCTTTAGCAACAATTTGAAGTGTATTATATACGCTGTATTACTGATAGCGTATGCATGACAAGGAAAAACATGTCGTGTAATATTCTGTGATACAGCAGTCGAATAACCATTACTAAATCTGTAATACATATGACTTGGTTTCTACCACTTAACGCTGCCTTTTACTTCATGCAATGTAATACGTCTACAAACATGTATTACGGGCACTGCTATGGATACAAAGCGACGAAGACTATACTCATTGTTACTAATTTGTTTCTTTCAGTACTACATACTACAATTATCAAAGGATACATTTCCGCGACGATTAGTATTCATATTTGTCGTTGCTGTCATACAAGTACAAAAAATATGAGTACTTAGTATTAATTTGCTTAGCTGAATACCGGTATTGTGATACAGAACCTAGTATCAAGAATTTGGGCACAATTTCTAGCTCGCTCAAAACCCAAAATGTCAGCATGTGACGGGTGGCATTGCCCAATCTGTCTGGGCAGCTATCAGCGTCCAGTGCTCGTCTTCTGCTGCGGCCAGAGCTTCTGTCGCTCGTGTTTAGATGATGCACTACGTCGATCTGATGCCTGTCCAATGTGTCGCTCTCCGCTGCTCTCAGGACCATTTTCCGTGACCTCGAATCGAGCCCTCGAAGAGGCGCTGACTGCGTTAGCTACTTCCTCTCAGATACGCTCTTTGACTGAGAATCACTTGGAAACAAATTTTGTTGATGCTGCCGAGAGGAAATTGATTGTTGAAACACAAAATTCTGACTCGGAAGTGCAAATGTTAGGGTTAAATTCAGTAGAATCAGAAAATAGTCAAGTGGCATTGATACCTAGAGAAGAAGTAAATTGTCAATGGATACAATCCTTCAGATTATACAGGTGCGTGGTAAAAAGATGTAGAAATTGCAATTAAATTTCAGGTTTGTGGTGCTAAAACTTAGTTTTGTGGTGTTAAAACTTGGTTTTGTGTTGTTTTTATATTCAGAATACGAGGTTTAGCAAACTGTCGATGTCGAGCAGAAGGTGGAACGAGGGGTGTAAATGAACGATTGGTCGAGCTACGACGACAGTTACGACAATGGCATTTGTGGTGTCGAGTACATTGGACGTCACTTCAGTGCGTCTTCTATGTGATTCTTTTCTTTGTCTTTGTCTTCTTTCTACGTGTACAAGAAGAAGACTGTGCAGAGACGACACGACATCTTCGTCGTCCAAACTAGAAAATGTACTGACAACATTGATCTGGACTCTTGAGGATGATCGTTGACACGTACATGCAAATGTACGTGTCGAGTACTCACTCTTTGCTATTGCTGGCATAAACTCCAGTGGTGAGCTGTTGAAGACGTTGTAGTATCTTGCACGGATAGTATCCCGTTCTTCTATGCGAGTGCCGTTGATGCATTTGTGAAGAGCAGCTTCGTTTCAGCGCAGAGACTATCGCCACTCGAACGTCCGGTGCCGTCACTGATCTTAAGCTAGTGAAGTGAACGAGTCCATGGCTAGTTCGTGTCGAGATACTGGTCATGTTTGAGATACATGCCAGGGGATGCCAGCCATGAGCTGTAGTTGTTGGCATAAAGGCGACGTTTTGCACCATGGCCATCAACCTGACCGTCAGCACGAAAAAATATGAGCTACGTCTTTGTCGGCTGGTTAGTAGGAAAGCGGGAGAGTGTCGGACAGAATCGTATCGGCAAGTTGACGGTCTTTAGTAACTTATCTAGCGCGGCTTGTTCCAGTTCAACATCTTTTTATTTTTGGTGATGGCAGCAATCTCGTGTACTTCAGCATGCAGAGCACGACGGAGCTGTGGTTGGTATGTTGCACAGCCGAGTTACTGTAGTTCTGCTGCGACGGAAATGCGAGGAGGAAATCGAGTGATTAGTGGACAAGCAGAATCGTGAATCGTATTGGATGTGATGGTAGATTGACTTCCTGGGATTCATCCTCGTGATCGTGAGCTTCGTCTGGCCTGTTGGCGACCTATATGTGAGTGCGACTTCAACGTGGCAACCTGTTGTCCTGACGCGACTTTGGTATCACCAACACACTTCATGTCTTAGAACACGTATTCGCAGTCCAGGATCGGGTCTGAGCTAGGGTCCATTTGTTTGGTTTTGCTGTACTTGATCGTGACGACCTTCTTTTCAATTGCTGCGATGCGTGCGGCTTCAGCGATGATGGTGTTCATCCGCGACGCACCCCAGTGTACACGAGGATTGGCATTACCTTCTATGACATCAATAAATCTGTCGAGCTCAAGCAGATACGCCTCGTGGAATCTCTCTGGAAAAGAGTGTCGCAACGTATCAGCCGTAATCCCAGCCTTGGTGGACTGGACCATAGCAGTCTTGCTCAAATTTTGAACCTGCAGCATTCCATGCTCACCCGCCACTTCGATACGCTGGTCATAGCCGTACTTTGCACTCCGACTAAGATCCATGGTACAAACGACGCCAGAGTTGGCAAATTCCAGCCAGACACTAGCTTTGTCCATCACATTGAAGTCTCTCAGCTCGGCCGACAAACTCGTTCCATGTGCGTACACTTTAGCCGGGTATTCGCCCACAAGGTCACACACGTAGTCGATATCATGTACAGCAAGATCATGAAATGGATCTCCTCCTGTTTTAAGAAACTCCACAGGTGGATATGGATGGTCACGGAACACTGTATGGATAGATTGAAGCTTGCCCAAGCTCTGAACGTCTACACATTGAACCCGTAAAGCTTCATAGCTCGGGTCAAATCTTCTTTGGAAAGAACAAAAGAGTTTGACATCATTTTTGTGACATACTTGGTACGCTGTGTCAATCTCCGTGACCAATGCAGCCACAGGCTTTTCAATACCAATAGCTTTAACCTCCGTGCCTAATATCCCCGTTGCACAGTCATTGACAAGCTCCATGTGTGTTGGAGTAGGCGTCGAGATCCAGACACCGTCTATCGTCTGATTCTGCTGCTTTAAAGCTCCTCCAGCCTCCATGAGACTTGAAAAACACTTGGTTTTGTATTGACTACCTAACTCGTAAAGTTGTTCAGTAGTAGCATTGGAATCAACGACTGCAGTGATCGATACACGTGAATTGTTTTGCATTCCAGCGAGACGAATACGTCCCATACGTCCAGTGCCAATTACAGCCACATTGAAACGCTTTGAACCGGACGAATAGCTTTGTACCCTATTGCTAAATGTAAAAGGGCGATAGAGACACCGAAAGGACATGATGAGGACAAGGCAAATTCAGAAATGACACACTGTTGAAATTGAAGCGAATGGAAGTGGTGTGGTGGACATGAATTCGTATTGCCGCCTTTTGCACCAATCAAGCACGAGTACGATAATACGCAATTTGATTGGTTTATATTCATTTAGCTGCACACCAGCCAAGCGAAGATGCTGCGTCGACCGATCGCTTCGGTGTCAGTGTCATGGCGTAGTCTACGCTGCTCTGTACGATTTCCGACTTGGTTGACAGCTGGTCAATATCCTTACAATGCTGTGCGTGAATTTTCATCCTCATCAGGCTCTTCTTCGAATGCTGGTGGTGGAATTCCTGGTGACTTTGTCTGTCATTTGAAAGACGTTGGGATGATCATTCCTGGAGGCAAGAAACTCTTTGAACGAGTAAGTTTGGGATTCTTACGAGGTGCAAAGATTGGCGTCTTGGGAGCCAATGGAAGTGGAAAGTCTACATTGCTCAAGATCATTGCCGGCGTTCGCAGTGACTTTGATGGTGAACGCTGGGTCAAGGACGGACTGAAAATTGGCTATTTGCCACAGGAACCACAGCTGGATCCAAGCAAGAACGTGTACGAGAACATTATGGATGGACTGAAGGAGAGCCAAATGTTATTGACCAAGTTTGATGACGTGTCGATGGCAATGGGCGAGCCAGACGCCGACTTTGATGCTCTATTGGAAGAACAAGCCAAGTTACAAGATCAAATCGAGCACTTGGGCTGCTGGGACTTGAGTCATGAAGTGGAAAAAGCTATGGCTGCACTGCGAGTGCCAGCTGCAGACTCAGATGTAGAGATCTTATCGGGAGGTGAACGACGTCGTGTGGCGCTTTGCAGGCTGCTACTGGAGAAACCGGATATGCTGCTATTGGACGAGCCTACCAATCACTTGGATGCCGAGTCGGTGCATTGGTTGGAAGACTTTTTGAAAAAGTACCGCGGTACGGTGCTATCCATTACCCATGACCGCTACTTTTTGGACAATGTGGCTGGTTGGGTCTTGGAGCTGGATAGAGGGGAGACGTATGCGTACGAAGGTAACTACACAGAGTGGCTCACCCAGCGTCGTAACCGCTTCAATATGCAGCGGAAGAGCGACGCAATCCGTGCAAAGCAGATTGCGTCGGAGATTGCATGGTCTCGTGATCACCAGGGAAGTAAGAAGGCAAACAAAGCGCGTCTGAAAAAGCTGCAAGAAATGGAGTCTACTGGTTTCCGTGCGTCGTCGCGGGTCGAGGATGGACAGATTGTTGTTCCGTCGGGCGTTCGTCTGGGCAACAAGGTTATTAAGATAAACAACTTGCGAAAACAGCTAGACGATGGCCGTGTGCTCTTTGACAAGCTTTCGTTCGAGATCCCACCCCACGCGATTGTGGGTATTGTGGGAGGTAACGGAATGGGGAAGTCCACGCTGTTCAATGTCATTGCCGGCATTGAGGAACCTGACGAGGGCAGCGTGGAGCTAGGTAAGACTGTGAGCTTGGGTTTTGTGAGTCAGAGCCGCGGCGAATTGAGTGGCAGACGATCGGTCTACGAGGAAATTTCAGGCGACAACGAGTTCGTGGAGATCAGTGGTGATCGCATCAATACGCGTGCCTACATAGCGAGTTTTAATTTACGCGGTGGCATGCAGGAGAAGAAGGTCGGCTCTCTCAGTGGTGGTGAGCGCAACCGTGTTCACCTCGCCAAAATGCTGCTGGGCGGCCACAATGTGGTGATGCTCGATGAGCCGACGAACGATCTTGACGTTGACACCCTGCGTTCGCTTGAAGCTGCACTTACTGACTTTGACGGCGTGTCTATGGTAATTTCCCACGACCGATGGTTTCTAGACCGCATTTGCTCCCATATTATCGCGTTCGAGGGTGATGGTCGCGTCAAGTTTTTCGACGGAAACTACAGTGAATACGAGAGGGAGCGTAAAAAGTAGTGTAAAAAGAGACAAGTAGCTAAGGCCACTTATTGTTACAGTAGATACAATATCCCCGCACCTACAACGCTAGTCCGAATCCTTGTCAAAGCTTTGTACTTTCAGAGTATTGTCGTACGTACATGCATCTCCGTTAACCCGCGAAACAAGACTACTTTCAGTCCGCCAGCAAAGTTTGTGCACTTGTACGTGCCGTTTACTCACTTCTTCTAGCAAGCTCCTTGAGCAGCTCACCTGTCGAAAGCGTCTTTAAATCGACTTCAGGCACATTGAGCCAGTCCACGGGGTTCTTTAGCACCTCAATAGTCTTTTCCTCCCATGATCCAGAAGCAGGTTGGTGCATGTATTCCCAACGAGCCGTCAGCGGAAGTGATATGAGGATCGACTCAACACGTGAGCCGGGAGTCAGTAGACCGAACTTGGTGCCTCGATCGTACATGATGTTAAACTCGACATAGCGACCACGACGCATTTGCTGCCACTCCTTTTGCTGTTTCGTAAACGGCAAGTCCTTACGTTTCTTAAGAATCGGGACGTATGCATCGAGCATCGAGCTGGCACAATGACGAACCATCTGAAAATTCTCTTCCGACGTATTAGTAAGATCATCAAAAAAGATGCCACCAATCCCACGACCTTCTTGACGATGTGGGATGTAGAAATACTCATCACATGTTTTCTTATACTTGGGATAAAGCTCTGGGTCACGCTTGTCCAACTGCGTCTTATAGACAGCATGAAAATGGCGTGCATCTTCTTCAAAAAGATAACTCGGAGTCAAGTCAGCCCCTCCACCAAACCACCCAATCTTTTCAGGTTTACCATCCTTATCAAAGTATCCCGTTTCTACCTCAAAGTAGCGGTAATTATGGTGAATTGTTGGAGCCATGGGATTGTGTGGATGCATGACTAAACTAATGCCACAAGCGTAAAAAGGCACCCCTTCTGGTCGTTCTTGAATGTCTTTTCCTCTCTCTGTCATTTGTTTTACGGCAGCAGGTGGTAATTTTCCATGAATAATTGATACACCCACTCCAGCCTTTTCAAAGACGTTCCCATCTTGGATTATACGACTACGACCACCACCACCGTGTCCTTCACGTTCCCATTTATCTTCATGAAACTTCTTTCCATCTACAGCTTCAATAGTGGCACAAATTTCATCTTGCAATCGAAGAATCAATGCCTCCATGCGCTTGGGCATAGAGGCTTTCGTATCAAACTCGATACTAGTCTTGGGTGTCTTGTCTTCAGATAGAGATTGATACAAAAAGGCAGATATGGGAATCAACCCTTTGCATCCACTTGATTCTTGCTCGTGAGTAATATAAATGGCACTGATAGTAGCGGGTACGACGGCGATCCAAGGCCGTGAGGATTTTAATAACGTGTTTAAACGGGTCATTGACGTTAATTGGGGACAATAAATCTTGGACTGAATCCTAGCGGCAAAGGTTTCGAAAGATGATACGGTGGGATGGATTGGTTTTAAAAGGGTATGATCTTATATGGTGAGCGTCTTCTTCAATCGAATACGACAAGTGCCGAACTAAGTTGATTGTTTCTTGGGGTTCATGTCTATTAGACACACGATAGGATTGAATTTGTTGCTGCAGAAAGAGTTGTAGAGGCTAAAGAAGCTCTTGCATTTGGACATTTGTGGTAGATTTACCATGTAAAGGATAATAACTAACTTGTACTACAACAATGCATGAATGAATGCATATTCTACTTTTTGTTTTAGCAATTCTACTGTATATAATGGCGAATCGACGTTATCACATCAATGAGACCATGTTATTCCTCAGGATATCGGGATACGTACGAGCATCACTATTAGCTCAATATGCTTCACCGCTGAGTTTGCATTTACCTTTTGTTTGAGCTCAACATTTCGTCGTACTTTTGCTTCCATTAAAGATTGAGCTCAAATGATTTGTAGTCATAAACAGTTGCGCACGTACATTGCAGTCCAAATTTCAGACGACCAGTTGTGATATGATACGGAACGCAACAACGAAGCTGTGGCGACAAGGAGGACGATGCGTCACACCACTTGTTACTCGCATGTAATTCTGCAGTTGAAAGTCGTGTCAATACTCCAGCATTTTCATCCAATCATCATCATTAAAAGAAGACTGAAAACCATTTTTAGCGAATCAGATCTCTCAACAAAAGTATGACCGTCTTCTGTTGTAGTCCATAATGGCTGAGCTTCTGGTAAATGTGCCGCAGATGCAGCGTGATCTCCAGTGCGCACGCGAGGAAAATGCGTATCTGCGTACATTGTTGAAGCAGTTAAATGTGTCCGATTTGAGCCAAGCGCCATTGTCTCTTCCTTACTATAAGACTGATGATTCAAGTGTCAACGATACGGACGACATTGAGTTTAATCACACTCTAGCACGACGTCAGGCACGTCTGGACTTGGATAATGACTCGAGAGAGACGTTAACAACAGGACTAGAGCTTAAAACTGCCAACGACCGTGTATCGATGCTGGAATGGCAGCTGTTAAACGCAGAAGAAACTATTTGCCACCTAAAAGCTGAGAAACTGGCGGCGCTACGGGACATTGAGCGACTTAGTTCTGCGACAATGGATACAGAAAGACAAGCATCAAGTATAAAGAACGACAGTGAAGAGCAGTGTACATTGGTGCTGGAGTTGAAGACGAGATTGGCTGAAGACAAGCAGGTCTATGCACTCGAGCAGGAACAACAAATGGCTGTGATTCGAGACCAAGAGAGTGAACTGAAGACGCTGCGTAGACAATTGGACGACACAATGAAACAACTAAAAGAGCTGCAGCAGAGACATATGGATTTATTAGAGCTGGACGAAGAGGCGACAATGGAGCAACAGCGCGTTCTTATCAGCGACGGAAATCGGTTCAGTGTGTCCGGAGAAGAAAGCGATGAAGACGACGAAACGATGGTGGTTAAGCAACGCAATGATTGCAATCCTGGGCGAGCTCGAGCTTCAGCTTCAGCTGACGCAGTGAATTCTAAATGGCATGAAGAGCTCGTGCACCATCCGACGCCTCACTTCGACATGCAGTCGCCTGAGGTGGCCTACATTCTCCGAGCGTGGACAAATAATATTAAGAAGATGCGCTACTTACGTCGCTGGCTTGTACAAGTAGTGGCCACAAAAGGACCGCTTCCAGACGATTTCCCCATGGCTGTAGAGCTGCCACGGCTTCCACCCGAGGTGCGCGACGGGTTTCTTACACTCATACTTCCGCTGCTTCGCAAGCAGACTGAGAGAGAGATTCTCGCTCATTCCCGTCGACACAACGACGGCATTCATACCGACTTGCGTTTCCGTGCAGTGCCGCGTCAATAACTTAATCAAGCAAAAGGGCTACGTGCTATTGAGTTTACTTATCACAGCTGTAGACCACTGTGTTCTCGTGTGATCGTCTTGATGACACTTGATATCTGGAGCTGCAGTCGCACAGATGCAAATGCTTAGCATACTTCTTCCGTGACCATATCCGTTGTGAGTCGAGAAACAGCTTTTAAGGATCGAGCAACTCTGTAGACTGCACTTTGTCAAGAAACCCTTATTGCTTTTTTTATTTGTCTTCATCGCTGTGACTTCTGGCGAGACGACCACTTTTGCAACACGCTCTTCAGCAATGGAACAAACTTCTGTGGTAATGGTTGAACTTGAATTAGCTACACTCAGCATACAGGTTGAGCACATAGGCGGGAACAATTTCGTCCTGGAATTTGTCTCGTCTGGTTCTTTTTTACCTTGCGAAGGATCTGATGTTTTCAAGTCCACGACGCAGCGAGTAACAAAGCTTTATATTCATTCTTTCGTTTTGTTCGATTTTAACAGGATGCTGATACATTGAAGGGGAAATTTCGCGGAAGCAGCGAGGAAATGTCAGGTCGGCATATTGACTGACACAAGTCAAATTAAGAACATGATCATTCATGGACGGTATGAATCAGTTACCAAGTAGAGACTTGCAATGCGACAAGCAGCGGCAGTTGGAAGCCTTCCCGTGTCGATGGCCATTCTTGTATTGGCCTAAAGAATAAAGGCATTGAAGCAGCGAGCCCAAGACGTTTTGTATCTACTCGCATCAATATGTCCGCCAATTTGATGTCCTTACTAAACGTTTCCAAGGATCGAAACAATCCACTCTTTCCACGTAATGTCTTGTCTCGAAAATCATTTAGTGTCAAGCTATGGCGCACGATTTGCTGTGGGGCTGTAACCACGGTTCATTGACGTTGATGATTTCTGTTGGCTATTTCCACCGTAGACTTGCAATAGCAGTTTGCATACTGCTCTTAATCTTCTAATCCTATCTTTGATTCCTGAGGTCGATTATTTTATCTGAGTTGTGAAGATACCTTTTGTCTTGTTTGCGTTGACCGGACACAATCAGCTGGATTTCTCGACGTACACCCCTAAAGTTTCCTTGACAGGTCTGCTGTATTGTCGATGCTTGGGAGCCTACTTCGATGTCCGTCCAAGCTGCTCTTGGCGTTGCTAACTCGATATCTGCCAAATTGGCATTGCCCATTCGAAATGAGGCACCTACGTGATTAACGTTCATCGCAGGCAGCAGTATCTTGCCAAGGGCGCTTCATCATGCACATTCAGGGTGATACAAGCGTCTCTGCACTCCTTGTGGCTGTTACGGTGGGACTTCGAAAACCCACCGTTACGCGACCGCTCATTCTCGCATTGCCCATCCAATTGTCTCCGAATCGAAGTCTCCGATCATTTCTGAACCTGCCACGCACAACTCACCTATCGTAAATTTTGCTAGCGTCTGAACAATGGTCCTGACCATACCGATCCCTCCCAACTCCTTGATTTCCTCTACGAAATCGTGGAGCCCCAACGCCAAACACGACCATCGCTACCAGGGGCTAACTACCCCCACCACCGCGAAAGCTACCCATCGTGTTCGGCTCTGCTACCGAGACGAGGCTTACCGCCAGCGTACCGAGGCACGAACCAAGTGTCTGATTGCAGATGCGTCATCCCCTACGAGCTCCAGCACCAGTGCTTTGCTAGCTAAGAAAGCGCTCAAGTACCGCAAGGTGTATGACCGTATGACGAGCGTGGATGTGAACGACCCCAACTTTGACGTGTTTGAGTTCCTGGGCGTCGACTGGTGTAAGAACCCGTCAATGGAGAGCTCAAGTCGCGTCTGAACGAGCTTCGCTGTACTATTTATTGTTGTTGTCGCCAATGCCGCGTACGGGTTGCCACGGAGTAAGATTTCACATGTAGGAGCACGAGCAGTTAAACAAACTAAATGCACATTTGGTCTTTTTTTAAGTTCGCCTGAGCTGGCGTACGGAGCGAGCAGAGACATAACGTTAAACTTATCGATACAATCTATACCCGTGATGGAAGGAACATCTATTAATGATATTTATTCCTTAGTCATTACAATAGTACTAGTATAATGTAAGTCTTCTGTAGTAGAGCACTGCTACTTGCCTCCTGATTAACCATCATGGACAAGCGAAAAATGGTCGGTAACCGATGTTTTTCGTCAATGCCATCGCGTCGCGGTTATTCTGAACTGACCCTAGGCTCTCCTAGCAGTTGATCATCCACATCACCGACTCGAGACTTGGAGCACGGAAAACCTCTTACTGCAGTGGAGACTACTATGCAAGGCGATTGTGACGTTTTTCGAGCCAGCGAGGGATCGTCAGTGCCCTAGTACGCTGAATTTTTGACAGCCTCGCAACCACATCAGGTAGCGTCAGTTGATATGCACAGCAACTTCCAGTCTTGCAAGGCTTCGAGGCGTGTTAGATTACCAATCAAATTAGTCGGTTTCGAAGGGAAAGACCGAAGTTCTGGCTTCACGGCTGTACATGGTGGCTATGATTTACAACTTGCATCAAAGTGCTAATTTAGATCGGGTATGGACTACACTGGGCTTCAATCACTTACTAGCGGTTGGATTGATACTTGGTTTAACAACGAGAGTACTGGAGAAGACGTATTCTATACACGTGGCAATATACCATCACGACCAAAACAGTAGACAACATAGGGTTTCATGTAGCTGCTGTGCATAGGACCTTGCCAATAGTATCCACAATCCAAGGTGTCTCTTACTGCATGTATAAAGATGCATACAAGTACTACATGCCGCACTTCTTGGTGCCAATAAATCTATCAACGTTTATCAAAAGCGTCTCGGAAGGTCGAAGGGTGGGGTAATTTGGATGATGGGGTCTCAAGTGACAAAATCATTTTGGCCATTCCGATCTATTTGGCGTCACTCTGAAAATTTGGGCGAAGTGTTAAAGATATGCTGTAAAAATCAATGATATACATTGGTTTGCTTACGGCTCCACGCGTCTACTAACAGCTAATGGGAACTTTGCTGGTACGGTTGTACATTGATAAGCGGGTGACGAACGTGGCATGCACGAAACCTGCTGCTATTGCTGCCACTGTATGTGGACCTATACGACACACAGACGGCACTCGACTCCGAACTACAACCAGCAGTTGATGTGTTACGGGAATAGACTTTACCGATCTACTCGGACACATGTCATGGCAAAGGGGCAGACCTACTTCGTCACCAACTCAAGGTCGAACTTCTTGTATGATAATTTTCGGTCGTAATATGTACTTCGTCGATTCCAAGATAACGACAAAATGGTAATCGCGAGAAACATTGGCGAGATCAAAGAAATTCTGATTTTATGTATACGCCTGTAGCGATTCTGTAGTGGCCAAGTAAAGCAAAACAGCACGCCAAGATTTTCTAAATGACATAACGCTGAACAATACGGCCATTCAGAGGCTGCGGCGGACGAGCGTTGTTACCGTTGTCCGTAATAGGGTACTCGAGCAAGTCCTGGTGAAGACGATCAAAGTCGGTGCGAGAGATCGATATCGGGTTCTGCACCACCCACCAGTCTACCGTCTCACCGCAACTTGGGGTCGTGAGGCTGCCTGGGTAGTTGTAGATGACGCCTCGGCTGCTGGCCTTCATCACCAGAGCAGAGTATGATTCCCTGTGTATCAGCAACACCAAAAACATTAGCGTCTTGTCACGATATATCAAAACTACGCAATCACAACTTACAGGTTCACCAGCACCGCATTCGAGTGCATAGAGGAGTTGACTTTCTCTAAAGCGTCAAGGAGAGGACTCAGCCATTCGTCTGACGTCAAGTCAATCTTGAGGAAGATGCCCACCACTAAAAGTGCCGAGCTGTCCGAGTCCGTGTGAACAAAGTGAATTTCACCGTCCAACTGCTGGTCATCCAGCGTGTGCTCTGAAGGAGCGTGCATGTGTAACTGCTTCATCTTGTAGGTTGCATTGTTCGCCGAAGCAGTGCAGTCACCTATATACGCATTCGATTACATTAGAATCGATCACGATTGAGCTATCACAAAATTAGCGATGCCTCACCTCCAACAATGTCCGCCTCAAGTGGTTCATGTGGCTCAGCCAGATTGTACTGAGTGCACTGTCCACTGAAGGTGAGCGAGAAATTCTCGCCGTCGCAAGGCTTTGAAGTCGAGACGATGTTAATGGGAGACTGACGGTCATTGCCGCAGGCCGACCAGGTATTGGCCCAATTAGAGTAGTGGACCATACTAGGGTCAATTCTGTATCCCCAAGGCTGGCTTTGAGTCCCATCGCCAGACACAGTCAGGGTGAAAGCGGCGATGACCGCAGAAATCGAAGCAATGAATGTCATTTTGTTTGAGACCGTAAAAAGATTGGAGTCGAAAAGGGTGAAGCAAGTGATGCAGTGAAAGCAAATGGAGGAATGAGCAATTGGTAAAGACGTTCGATTACGGGACGTGCAGCGCACACAAAGAACCGATTTTCCGGCGTGGGATGCAATGCACAGTAGGCGATCGGTGATGGTGTAACTTATGATTCAAGTATAGGTTATCTGCAAGTAGATATGATCTTTCGGATGCGTCAAAATGCAGCGATGTGTCGATTGCCCATCGCAAAACAAGTTGCATGACAAACAAGTCATATGCTACCACAAATAAGCATCGGTCTGTCAAAGCGGTTGCTTTTCGAATTCTTCTTAAAGTGATGAAGTAGTGGAATAACCTACTTGCGTGTATGAGGCGAAAAATTGCTTTGTGAATGAAGCGGACAAAAATTTCCACCTTGTTATTGTACGTTTCGTTTGAGCTAATTACAAGAAACGTATTATAATAACAAGGGAGACATAGGAATGACACCATACATACAGTACTTACATGAAATTATGCACAAAATGGTGGCCTATGTACTGAGCAGGTTTTTACCTGTGAAATATATACCATCTGCACTATTACAAAGTCGCCACTTTTCAGAGCATCACTGCTAGGCTAAAGAAGGGATTGTCAATTGTACAGCGTTTAGCCAGTATTCTATTACGTGAAAGAGAGAGGCTATGTATCCATATGGTAACCTCTATGTTGGAGCTTGTAACAGGGAGGTGTGTACCTAGACCTGCCACTTGGGTAAGATAGACCATGTGACCCACCCTTGTGTATGTTTGATATATACATGGTGAAATAATAACGCCCTGCAGAGACTAGCGTCATCGAATGACGTCACGGACGGACGTCATTCGCAAGACTAAGTACAGTAATTCTGTCTAAATGATACTGCTTTATTTGATAACCTGTCTAAAATATTAAAAACACCAGTCCTGAGCTCGTTCCCGTACTGAAACTGATAAACCTCCGTAATCTGTTATCCGATATATTTCTCTTGGTGCAGCGGAGCTGCACAGCTCTTTATCCAGAGGAAGACTTTCGGCTGGAAGCCTCTTAGTTCTAGAGAACTAAATAGAGTTAGGGCTAAAAGCCACTTAGTTCTAAGGAATTAATTAAACGACTTAAAGTCACCCTGTTCTAAGGAAGGAGGAAAGAGACTTTTAGTCAGTCAAGCAATAAGCTTAAGGTTCAGAGAACCAACGCACAGAGTGCAAGAACAAGCTAGAAGCTTAGAGGTTCAGAGAACCAACGCACGAAGTGCACAAGAGAACAAGTCAGAACGACTTGCGATCTTAAACTCAAAATAAGAACTGATTATATTTATGCTTTAAGGTTTTATGAATAGTCCTACTCTAAGTACACTACACTAGATTAATTACTATGATAGTAATTATAATATGCAGACTTTGCTATTGGACGACGTATCGTCTAAACATCTGTGTATGATGTACTTAGTACAGCGTTATCGATTTATCGAATCCTAATCGATAAGATACGGCATTACCAAATACCGTATCTTTAGCGCTCATACTTGACACCTCTCGAAAAAGAAGTATTAAAATGCATTATATGCAATATAAAGGGGAATTCAACCGTAAACTCCCGGAAAGACGCTACAACCGTCGTGTAACCCCGTTACACCCTCCCTCACCAGACTGACGTTCCCATAGAATGTCCTTCGACATCTTTCCTCTTAGAGGTAGTGCTTTAGCGAACGTTAAAACCTTACGGTATGTTCACGGCACATAACATGACGCCTCCTGGCACTGAGTCACAGACTATACGGGACCTTATCGAAGGCGACCTTGACGAAGCGGTTGATTACGAAAGTGACACCGTCTTTAGTGGACCCGATGGGTCCCCTTTAACCACCATTACGGGTAAAGATTACAGTAATCATGCACCGAATCCGTTTCCTGAACGTGGTGCTGCAGATGCGCTAACAGCGTTACGTGACCCGCCTGACGTATCGTCAACGGCGACGGTTACCAACCCACTCGACGAGCAGCAACAGCAGACCATCGACCAAGAGGTAGGTGCCAAGCGCCGGACGAAGAATATGGCGAGGATTCAAGACCACCGACAGTACAGGTTCAATCCACCTACAGTGGAAGAACGCCAAAAGGAGGCATCTGGACATTCCCTTTCTGGCTGGGCCATTGGGCCTGAGGCCATTTCACCTGAGGATATTGCAACGCGAACGGCCCTTCGACAACGATATCTGGAGCCTCATATTACTACGCAAAGCCAATACTTGGCACGCCTCAACAGGCAAGTGAGCGGTGCGCCAGTTCCTCCCATAAAGGGCGTTCCCATCCCATTGTTCGCGGGGGAAACCGAGGACGAAGAAGACACGTCTTTTAGCCGCTGGGCGCATTATGCGCGACGTTTAAGCAGCATGTGGGCCCTACGGGCAAGTGCCGATGTGGCAGATGTTCGACTCGAGCGGAAGATGCGTTACGATTACGCTAAATTGAAGGCCCGGGGAAAATTGAAATCCCAACGAACGCATTATGCGTCTGCTACCCAGCATCCCAATGTTTCGGCTACACCTGTAGCCGCGAGTCCACGACAGTCTGAGGCCGCTAACCCGCCTACACCCACCATTAGTGGTGAGAAGCGTCACCGCCAACAGGTCGGCCCTGCGCACGACGTTCAAAAACGTCCACGGCGTATGGGCAATCCTGCCGAAGAGGAACCTCAAACTCCCATGAGTTCCACGACTCGGGATAACCCCGCCACTTTACCAGATACTGGTTTTGACCATGGCGGCGACGTTTCTGCAACAGACGTTTAACATGGAACTGAAGGTTCCCCTGCGCATCGAGCAAAGCCGGAGGAGGCCGGTGTATAGGGACAAGCTCATGCCGAGCTTGTTCAAGAGGTGCGGTCCCTACGTGAGGAAAAACAGACGATGAACTCCCGTCTTGAGTCCCTGGAAGAGAGCCGAACCCGAATGCAGGGTCAGCTTGACCTGTTAGTGCAGATGATTCGCCCCGCGACAATGCCGATGAACTCGGCGCGGGCGCCTTAGCGTCCATTTGGGACGGATCCCGATATAGTGTCAGCATGTCGACGTAGAATACGGGATGTGTACGCAATTTGCGCGGCAAATTAAGCGTATACGCTAGGCCTTTCTTGGCAATGACCGTAAAGGGTCCAATAAAGCGCGGACGCAACTTCGTCTTAAAGACAGCGGATACTACATTGGTAGGTAGATTTTTAGCATTAAGTAATACTTGGTCTCCGACCTTATAATCATTAATACAGCTTCTGCCTTTCGCATCCGCATATTCTTTTTGTTTGTCTTGGCTATCAGCCATTGCGTCTTGCACATGTCGTAAGACATTTAGTCGCATTGCGAGAAACGCACTTGCCTGTTTCTTAACAGTATTAGGGCTGACATCAGCAAGCCGATCGGCAACCTCTCCCCCACCAAGACCTGAACCACTCGGTGGTAGCGTTAACGGAACGCGTGGGTGTGTGAGACCATTGACAAAGAACGGAGTGTAGCCGGTAGAGGCGTGCACGGAGTTATTGAGTGCAAAGTCAACTACAGGGAGCATAGAGCTCCAACGCTTAGGCGTTTCAGCACAAACGCTGCGTAGGATATCTTTAACAACGCGATTCACGCGTTCCGTTGACCATCGGTCTGCGGATGATCCACTGTATCATGTCCAAGCGTTTGCCCAGCACCTGAAAGACGGACTTCCAAAACTTACTCTTAAACTGAGGATCACGATCAGAAACAATTGTCACTGGCAAGCCATGTTGGCGAAATACTCGGTCGATAAACAGCTCCGCTGTACCCTCACAATCGATCGAGTCTGGCACAGCCGCTAAGTGAGACATCTTGCTCAAACGGTCAACAAAGACCACAATACCTGTGTTGTCATGCGAATCTTTCGGTAGGCCAAACACAAAATCCATACTAATGGACTCCCAGCACCCAGTGGGAATAGGCAAACTAGCCAGCGGCGCTGCCGAATGGGGCAAGGGTTTCATCCGTTGACACGTTTCACACGTACGCACATACGTGCTCACCCATTTATATAATTTGGGCACCAATAACTTTGGCATACCGCCCCATAGGTCTTTTCACGACCCAAATGACCACCGATGGCGGTGTCATGTACATCATAGAGGATACGATACTTCAGATCCTCATCATGAGAAACTACAATACGCGGAGGATCCGCTACATCTGTACGATAGTACAACAGCCCCTGATCGGTAGAATATCGATGGAGGCTCGCACGTAATCGTGCCGACTATTTAATGTCCGAATCTTTTGAATTCATCACTACCAAGAGCATGTAGCAACGCTATACAGTGATCACTTTTAGCAGACGCCGATCGAATGAGATCAATGATAGAAGACGACAAGGTCGTAACATGAGCAAGCTCATAGTCAGGTCTGTGTGACAACGCATCAGCCAAAGAATTTTGCTTGCCCGGCTTATATTTCACCTCGAAGTTATATTCAGCAAAGAATGACTACCATCTGGCTATTCTCTGAAATAGATGAGTCGTAGTGCGTAAAGACGCATGATCGGTATAGATCACAAAAGTCTTCGAGCCCAGCAGATGAACTCTGAATTTGACTAGAGCATACTTCATCGCAATTAGCTCTTTGTATGAACTGGATAGTTCTTTTCTGCAGCTTTCAGCTGTCGATATTCAAAAGCGATCACACGCTCACGGCCTTCATCATCTGTTTGTAACAGAGCACTGCTAATGGCAAAATCCGACGCGTGACTGACGACGCTAATCGGCCGGTCAGTGTCTGGCAAAGCCAAAATGGGAGCATGAAAGGCTATCCTACACCGCTTGAAAAGCATCCTCATGCTCGGCATGCCAACACCATTCCACATCCTTTTTAAGGAGATTGAAAATGGTCGAGCCATATAAGCGTAATTCTCGCTGTACTTGTGTAAGTAATTGGCAAGGCCAAGCCATTTATGCAAGTCGTTCTGAAACTGTGGAACAGGCCAATCGACTATGGCTTTTACCTTGGCGGGATCCGCTCGTAGGCCCCGCTTCCCAATGAAGCACCCTAGAAAGGGAATCTCTTCGGCCCCGAAGATGCACTTAGATGCATTAGCATATAGCTTATTAGTGCGCATGCACTCGAGCACAGCTCGTAAATGAACAATATGGTTCTCAATATCTGACCGCCCATGTTCAGCTCGACTATGGACAAAAATGTCATCAAAGTACGTCTGTGCATAACTTCGATGGGGTCGAAACAATTGCGTCACCAAACGGTTAAACGTAGCCGGAGCATTAGATAGCCCCTGGGGCATCACTAACCACTCCCAGAGCATACCGCTCGGAGTACTAACAGCAGTAAGTGGAATATCACTAGCTCGCATGAGCAATTGGTAATAACCATCGACTAAGTCGAGCGCACTGTACATGGTACAACCGACCATATTGTTCTGAAGAACATCCTTTCTAGGTATTGGCGTCTGCGCAGGTATAGTGGCTGCATTGAGCTTATTATAAGCATGAACGATACGCCATGTACCATTCGGTTTCTTAACACAGAAAGTGGGTATCGAGTGCGGAGATTTGCTCTCGCGCACCATGCCCGCCGCGTGCTTTGCACGAAAAAACTCGTCAATGGCGTCACACTGTTCTTTGGGTAAAGGTCACTGCCGTGTTACGCAGTATTTGGTTCCAGGAACCAAGTCAATTTTATGACGTACACCCCTATCAGGTGGTAGAACCGACGGTGGATCGTGACACACCACGTCCTGGAATTCCCTAACTAAAGGTTAGTAGGGATCTAAAGGGTCCTTCAGAATAGATGCCCCACAACGTGAGCTTAGTGCCTCCTTTGTATCTTCGAGGACTGTCTCATCGACAAGTGAGGATGAGTTCAGCTCGAGGTTAGGTCGAATGACCACCATATCGGATAGAGCACCAGCCTTCAAGGCTTGATGAAATTCATCCACAGACATTTATAGCTCTAAGAGAGCATTCAATGATGGGAGGGCCTCAAGGTCAACCTCACCATCTACATCACCTGTCCCTCCGTTGACCAGGGTGTATAACTGGTCACTGACATTACTACGCGATAAAACAGACGCTTTGCGTCTCGCAGCCGCCATCTGGCGCCGCTGTCGTCTCAATGACGAGACCGTACCATTATAAGTACTTGGGCACCATCACCTCCAAGGTCAACAGATCCCTGACCATAACCTGCCCTATGCGAGGGCCGATGTCAATATCGACATCCAGTGGGCCACTAGTACCATTGACTTCACTAACAAGGTCATCAACCTTCACTTGCTCTATAAGAGAGCCGATGTCATTACCGACATCCAGTGAATCGCATTACAGCCAATATCACTAAAAAGGTCATCGACCTTCACTTTCTCTATACAAGAGCCGATGTCATTATCGACATCCAGTGAATCGCATTTACAGCCAATATCACTAACAAGGTAATCGACCTTAACTTGCTCTATACGAGAGCCCATGCCATTACCGACATCCAGTGTCTCAATATTATTATGAGTACCACTCAACGGAGTACATGCCACTCCAGTAGGTGTCACTGAGCTCTGCTCGACACTATTATTGTTGACATTGGAGTTTATCAACTCAGACACTCCAATGTCCAGCACATTAACTGAATCAGTTAATGGCTCGCACCAATAGCACTTCTGTTTCCTAGCTAAGGTGGTTTCATGACTCTCCAAAGATTCACTAAACATTGCGCTAGCGCCTAAAGTTTTAAATCTCCAATTGATCCATGGCTCATGGCGTTTCAGCCAGGCCATACCGAGAATGAGATCATATCTCGAGTCCAAATCTAGGACAAGAAAGCGTTCAACGCTATTGAAGTCTAAGAACTTCACACCTAAGTTTAACGGAGCTTTAGGAACGGTGACACGTACACCTGTTGCGAGACGCACGGTTATATTGTCACCCTCTTGCGCGTCTAGCGCCTCAGCATACAGCTGACACTCATCAAGGGAACGACGCCGGACATAATTACCTGACGCCCCCGAGTCAATTAAAATTGACCATGGTTTCTCAGAACCCTTAACGGTTGCCGACACAACCAACAAGCCTGGCTTGTAATCTTGTTCTATGGAAGCATCCACAGAACCACCTGGGGCTAATCCCTGTTTACCTTTACCTCCTAAAGATCCAACAGAACTTAGTTTTTCCCAGTAGGGCGCCCCGCGCCTACTGGGAGTTGACGATTTCCCTGCGGTGCTCGCCTTTTGGCTAGGAGCAGGGTTTCGGCTCTGCCGATTTGAACGTTGCTTTCGCAACGGACAGCTAGGGAGTAGATGCCTAGTGCTTCCGCACATGTAACATCTACGGGTGTTACCTTGCTACTCAGCAGCTTGAAGCTCAGCTTCTTCAGCATGGCTGAGGTCCATGGGTTCTGCCCGGTTAGAGGCATTTGATTGATAACAGGGCAGACCATATCGAGCAGATTTAAAATTATATTCAGCGTTAAACGCTATGCTTACTGTTTCTTCGAAAGTCGAAGGCTGGACACGAAAAACTTCCGTCCTGGCAACTCCAGTACGAAGTCCTTCCATAAAAATGGCTACTCGGACTTCCTCTGCCAGAGGGTCCTGCTGCATAGCAGCAATGAGAGTTCTCAACTCTTGGACATAGTCCGACAATTCTTTCTTACCCTGTCGGGTAGCTAAGAAGCGTGAGCGCACACGATAAGCCTGATTAGGCGGTGCAAACACACAAGTTAATTGCTTTTGAAGCATTTCTCATGTGGGGAATGCAGCACTTACAGAGACATCGCTCGTTAGAGCCCACTCTCTAGCTCTTCCACCGAGCTTCGAAATGGCCAAGCCAACTAGTTGCTTATCTGATGCAAGCATGTCGGCATCCATTGCCATTTCAACTTCTCGGATCCAGAGGAGAAGATTTTCTCCCTCCTTCCCCTCAAAGGTCTTCACGTTTGAAATGAGTGGGCGAGCCTTTGACTCTGCATCGGGCACAGGTACCGGGATGTGCTGCGTAGACGCAGCTGACGCTGCCTGGTTGTGGACCTGCCCGAGTATCGTTGCTTCATAACGCATAAAGGCCTCAAGACGAGCATTTAGAACCTCGGGGCCTTGGGCCAAAAGGGCCTCGATTTGATCGGGCCCGACGAACGCCGATAGTTTATCTAAGGCGAGTCGTTGTGCCTCAGAGAGGAAATTTTGATTCTCCAACCTCACAGAGGGCCAGTCTTTACAGACTCAGGTGTAGGATTGACTACAAGTGCTACCAAGTGTAGCGGAGCTGCACAGCTCTTTAGCCAGAGGAAGACTTTCGGCTGGAAGCCTCTTAGTTCTAGAGAACTAAATAGAGTTAAGGCTAAAAGCCACTTGGTTCTAAGGAACTAATTAAACGACTTAAAGTCACCCTGTTCTAAGGAAGGAGGAAAGAGACTTTTAGTCAGTCAAGCAATAAGCTTAAGGTTCAGAGAACCAACGCACAGAGTGCAAGAACAAGCTAGAAGCTTAGAGGCTCAGAGAACCAACGCACGAAGTGCACAAGAGAACAAGTCAGAACGACTTGCGATCTTAAACTCAAAATAAGAACTGATTATATTTATGCTTTAAGGTTTTATGAATAGTCCTACTCTAAGTACACTACACTAGATTAATTACTATGATAGTAATTATAATATGCAGACTTTGCTATTGGACGACGTATCGTCTAAACATCTGTGTATGATGTACTTAGTACAGCGTTATCGATTTATCGAATCCTAATCGATAAGATACGGCATTACCAAATACCGTATCTTTAGCGCTCATACTTGATACCTCTCTAAAAAGAAGTATCAAAATGCATTATATGCAATATAAAGGGGAATTCAACCGTAAACTCCCGGAAAGACGCTACAACCGTCGTGTAACCCCATTACGCCTGGTCCCACAAATTTCGTTAGCTCATTTACCCTACATACGTGCTACTTCAACTCGTTTAAAATAGCTTTAAATGCCCTTCTGCAACATCTGGAGTGTTCTGATCGCCCGAAACTTGTCCCTTATCGGCTGCAGTGCCGTCATGAAGTGGTACTCTGTATCTGCCTGCTGCATCCAGAAGGTTCAAGCGACTGAATCATCATCTGTGCGTCGACCGCTGGAATCGGAGGAAGTTCCTCACTGTCGTCTTTAATCACAGATGCATCGTCGACCTCCTTGGGCAGGTGCTCCAGAATCACCTCATCGAGCGATGGCAGGTAGGTGTGGTGGAGTGGATTCTTAAACGACGTGAGAGAACCACAAACACACACAGCGCCGGACTGCCGACTTACGGAGGGGGTACCCCGATACCGTGTCGCGTCAACCTTGGGTCTCACCTTGTGTACCCGTCGGCTTGGCTGGTCTTGCTTCTCGTTAGACGCAGAAGACTTAAAGACTTGGTCTTTGTATAAGACTTGGACTTTGGTCCCCGAGTGGATATACTTCACTCGGTCCCAGGGTTTCTTGGTCTCAATCGACTGTGTCGAGAGCGATGCACCTGGTACTACGTACTTCTTTCGGTGTCTAACTGTTTCTTGGTCCTTGGTAAAGATCTTGGATAGGTTGGAAGTGCTTGATTGTTTTAATGCAAAACGCAAAGTGATTCATTTGGTCCTTAGTTCGCTTACGCTACTCTAAGCCTAATGTTTACCCTCTGGATACACTCTACTTGATCCAAACTTCAACTGCATCCAATCACCGAACTTCAACTGCATCCAATCACTGGAATGACGATAGTATCGCAGCTGGTCGAGGAGTCATATTGACAACACTCCCACTCGACTCGACAGCCGATGATGCCATAATGCCAAGTTTGCTTCGGAGCGTACTGAACTGTGGGCCGGGAATTGGCTTCGTCATGAGGTCGGCCAGCATGTCAAGTGTTGACACATACTGTAGCACAACTTGGCCATCTTCCACCTTCTCGCGTACGAAGTGGTATCGTATGTCGATGTGCTTGGTGCGCTTGTGAAACTCGGGATTCTTGGCCAACGCTATCGAACCTTGATTGTCCTCGTAGATCTTGACCGCTTCGTCCTTTGCCATTTCTCCAAGCTCGCATAGGAAGGCCTTCAACCAAACTGCCTCTTGAGTAGCTTCCGATAGTGCCATGTACTCAGCTTCCGTTGAAGACAGCGCCACCGTTTTTTGTTTCTTGCTTCTCCAACTGATACACCCGCCGTTCATCATGAACGCGTAGCCACTTGTACTTCGGCGCGACTCAGTGTCGCCTGCCCAGTCTGCATCCGAATAGCCTGTAAGAGCATCGCCATCCGCCGTGAACTCGATGCCGTAGGTCTTCGTGCCTTGAATGTACCGAAATACCCGCTTTAGCGCTTGCCAATGTGTAGGACATGGATCTGCTGCAAATTGGCTGAGGACTCCCACTGCAGCGGCAAGGTCGGGACGCGTGCCAACCATAAGGTACATGAGGCAACCAACAGCACTTCGGTAGGGCACATTTGCCATTGTGTCGCTGTGATTGCACCCATCCTCGCACATGGACTTCGCCAATTTGAGTCCTGGATCTTGTGGTGTCTTGACTGGATTGCTGTTGTCCATGCCAAACTTAGTCAAAACGTCCTTGGCAAACTTGGTCTGACGCATCGATACCTTTCCACGTTCTTGATCGATTTCCATGCCAAGAAAGAAGTTGAGCTTACCCAAGTTGGTCATCTCAAATCGATCACTCAAGGCGTCCTTTACTGTATTGAGCATCTTGTCACTGCTGCTTGCAAGTACCAAGTCGTCCACATAGAGTGCGACGAAGATTATGGCTTCACCGTCGCGTTTCGTGTAGATGCAGTGGTCCGATTCACATTTCTTCAAACCAAGCTTCAGCATGAACTCGTCAATGGTCTTGTTCCACATGCGCGGCGATTGCTTCAGTCCGTACAGCGATCGATTGAGCTTGCACACGAGGTTGGTATTGCTGTCCTTGACGTAACCTTCAGGCTGAATCATGTAAATGTCTTCGTCCAGCTCACCATTGAGAAAAGCAGTCTTGACGTCCATCTGGTGCACGGTAAGATCATACTTCGCCGCAAGACTTAGTACGATTCGGATTGACGTGAACTTTGCCACAGGCGCGAATGTTTCTTCATAGTCAATACCGAACTTTTGCGAGAATCCTTTTGCAACCAGGCGTGCCTTGAACCGCTCAATTTGTCCATCCTTGTTTTCTTTGACACGAAATACCCATCTGCAGCCGATTGCTTTGCGACCTTTGGGAAGCTGAACAAGATCCCATGTCTTGTTCTTGAGCAGCGAGTTGATTTCGGAGTCGCACGCTTCTTCCCATTTCACAGAGTTGATGGATTCCATCGCCGACCTGTGCGTGGTCGGCATTTCTCCCACTGAATCCACAACGAATGCCGCCTCAAAATCTCCTTCAGCAATTGCCGACATGTTTTGTCGCTTCGAACTCGGAATTTCCGTTGCTTGATCAAGAGATTGTGTTCTTGGATGTCTTTTGTCGCCAGGCGCGAAGTCTGTCGTTTGGACGTTCTCAACGTCTTCATCTTCATTCATAGCGTCATCCGTATCTTCATGGTCCGTACTCAATTCCTCGTTGAGATCAGTGACCGCTTGTTCTTGGACAGATCTACCACCGTCGAAGACGTCTTCCATAAACTGCGCATCACGACTTACGGTGACGCGCCCACTTGATATGTCCTCAAAGCGGTAGGACTTGAGATGCTCCGCGTAGCCCAAAAAACGGCATAGTGAAGCCTTGGCATCTAATTTTGAGCGTTTCTCGTGCGGAATATGGACGTACGCATGACATCCAAATACCTTGAGGTTTGTCAGTACAGGCTTCTTCTTCGTCCAGACCTCATAAGGTGACTTTTCTTCACTTATGGCTCTTGTTGGGCATCGGTTTCGCAGAAACATTGCCGTCGTCACAGCTTCGCCCCAATATTTCTTGGGTAATCCAGCGTGCTCCAGCATGCAACGAGCACATTCCACGAGCGTCCGGTTCATTCGCTCCGCGACCCCATTCAGCTGTGGTGTGTACGGTGGCGTGTACTTTCGAACAATACCGTTCTTGGTACAAAACTTCGCCATGTCTCCAGCCGTGTACTCGCCGCCGTTGTCACAAATTAGCGTCTTGACGCGATTACCAGTTTGAGTCTCGGCAAGAGCAACAAACTCAGCAAACTTGGTGGTCACTTCGGACTTCTTCTTCATAAGGTACACCACGCAGTATCTTGACTTGTCGTCAATGAACGTGACGAAGTATCGTTTACCACTAAAAGTTAATCTTGACATAGGTCCACAGACGTCGCTGTGAATGACATCCAGAATCTTGGTTGAGCGTTTTGGTGCTGTCGATTGAAAACGCACGCGTGTTTGCTTACCAAGCGAACACCCATCACAAACATCCCAGTCTTCGACAGACGTTATGTTGATTCCAACACCAAGTTTCTTCTTCACGATGGTATCAAGTCCATCGTGGCCCAAATGACCAAGTCGAAGGTGCCAGAGGTACGACTTGGTGTCCCCATAACATCCCGACGACTTGGCTGCATTGGCTTCATCTCCCAGAAGTGGCGTCATTTGAAGCTTGAAGAGACCTTTACCCTCACGAGCTCCGATCTTCCACTTCATGCTATTCGCTTCGGCAAAACAGCCATCCGTGTCGAATGTTACAGGACCGACGTCCTTAGTAAATCGACCGACCGAGAAAAGGTTGCGGGATAGCTTGGGAATGTGCCACACCTTCGTCAGTACACCCTTCTTGATACCCTTCGGGGTCTTCATTGACATCATTATGTCACCACATCCAATTGCTTGCACGACACCATCGTCTGCAAGGTGTACGTCAATTGGAGAGAAGAGCTTGTAGTTTGTCATGAACTTCTTGGAGCACGTCATGTGCTGCGTCGCTCCTGAGTCGACCAGCCACACTTCATCCGCGTTGTCGGTGCTTTTACTCCAGCTAACCGAAAATAGATAGTCGCCGTCATTGTCGTTCTGAGCGACGTTGGCGCGATGCGATCGGTATTGTTCCGTGTTGTCTTGGCCTCGCGAAGGACACTCCGCGATCCAATGACCCATTTTGCCGCAATTATGGCACGCCCCAGTCTTCTTCACCGGTCGCCCTTTGTTGCGCTTGTTGTCTCTTGTCATAAACGCTTGGCCATGGGTAGCTCCGTCGACGCTACCACTTTGTTCCTTGCGTTTCATGTCCTCATGAAGAAGCCTAGACGACACTAGCTCCCACGTCAACGTATCAGCTCTCGATTCCAACGCAGTGATGAGGAACTGGTACGATTCGCTGAGACTTCCAAGCAGCGTGATTACCAGGTCGTCAGCACTGACCGGAGCGCCGACTGCTTCGAGCTGCTCTGCCAGAGTCTTTACCTTATTGATGTGTTCCATCACATCGTCCCCTTCTTCCATCGTGACTGTGAAGAGACGACGACGAAGGAAGAGCTTATTCGCCAAGCTCTTCTTCTCGAAGTGGTCTTCAAGTCTTGACCATGCATTATGCGCATCACTTGCAGAGCGGACGAGCGGCAGTTGCGAATCTTCCATAGCCAAGCAGATAGCTGCCATGGCCTTGCGAGACTTCCTCTTGAACGACGCTTGGTCCATCGTGTTCGCCAAGTCACCAATCTTCACTTCCCCAGAGACGACCTCCCACAGGTCACGCTCCTCGAGCACCATCTGCATCTTGAACTTCCAGGCGTGGAAGTTGGTTCCATCAAACTTGTTGATGCGATTCAGCGACGAGTGCTCCATAGCGAACGCGTAGTCGGCAGCAGAGGTTGAGGTGGCGGGGCTTGGGCTCATAACCTAAAGATCTTGGATAGGTTGGAAGTGCTTGATTGTTTTAATGCAAAACGCAAAGTGATTCATTTGGTCCTTAGTTCGCTTACGCTACTCTAAGCCTAATGTTTACCCTCTGGATACACTCTACTTGATCCAAACTTCAACTGCATCCAATCACCGAACTTCAACTGCATCCAATCACTGGAATGACGATAGTATCGCAGCTGGTCGAGGAGTCATATTGACAACACTTGGACCCCTTTTTCTTGTTCCCCGTAGGGAAACCGCTTCCTGTAGCGGGTCGTAGAGTCTTGACACTTACTTGACACCTCAGGCCAACTATCCTGAGGTTCAACTTGAGTAGCTTGAGCCGTCTAACACCTGCTGACGTCGGGGGGGGGGGGACAAAGGATATCCCGCCCGGAAGAGGTGCAGCGACGTAGAAGCTTGTAGAAAGCGCTTGGAGCTGCCATGTGTAATGCAAATTCGAGTGTGTTTATTTATCTTATTCTCTGTATGCTTTTCTTGCCTAAACCTAACCCTTCGCTCTGGATAGTGCCACGTGTCGACTCTTGGAGGAAGAATTGGCTCCTTGGTACCTGTAGTTTCTGTAATCTTCGATATTCCGTGTACCGTTTCTGCACCCTCGGGCATTGGGCTCCGGTACCCTGGTACCCCGGGCCTTGGACCCTGTATCCTGGGGCCTGTGGTGGCTCTGCACGTCTGGGTCCATATATTTTTAATAAGGTTTGGGCCTGGTGTGAGGTTGCAGATCTGCGAGGCCGTGTCGTGGTCATCCCCTCGGGGAAGTGACCAGAAATTCTCTTGCCCTCTGTTCCCATTCACTTTAAGCTCTGATTTCTCTTGGCACTTCACCACATAGGTGACCACCTCCTAATCTGGATAGTTAAAAAGGTTTTTGATGTACATCGAATTGCGGTAACGAAGCTGCTTGACCTGTGCCTCCAAATCCTTCACGATAGTTTTATCCAGGAGATCGGCGGCCTTCTCCTTATCACTGCAGTTTTTGATACTGTACGAGGTCGAGGGCGACAGTGCGGTTCCTGCATTGCCAGAAGTAATTGGCGGTTGTTGCAAGCTTGACCTTGTCCCTCCATGCCGGAATTACAAGCCTGATAGCTTGTAGGATGTTCACTTTCTCTCAATCTATGCGTTTCCATCGGAGGAGATAAAATAGCGCCGATAGTAGGACTTCAGGTTTCTGATGATCCGGCATCACATGGTTGCAGCTTTGAGGTGGTGTTCGGTGAGAGCTGTGTTCTCTAGCTAGATGCGAGCGGGAAGTCCCGTCAGAGAGGCGTACGCACTGCAATTGTCCATGATGAAAAAAAACTTTTATCAGCCATCTGTAGCTCAAATGCTTTGAGCCACTCGAGAAAGACAAAATGGGTCATCCAAGCCTTCGCATTGTTGCGATAAAGCAACCGAGATTGTTGAGGTTGATGTTCCTTGAGCAACGCTGTAACGGAATAAGGGCCCGTTGCCGTCTTACACTAAAAGGGCGTTGAGGAAGCGCTCTTAATTAACTCGTAAATATAACTCTGTTTTATTTTTGTTTTTTTTAGTTTTAAATCGCAGTAAGTGCGAATATGTTCCCTAGCTCATGGGAACCACTCAATATGGAAGTCAATTTATTATTGGCTAATTATTGGGTATGGCACCCCAATAATAAACCAATAATAAAATGACGCGCAGTATCCGCTAATCGAATACTGCCCTATGCCTACTTATGTAATTATGTATTAATCCTATAACTACTTATGTAATAGGTTGCTCCATTACATCCCCCCTCTTGAGTTGTGCTTACTACAACGTAAGCACATAACATGAAAATGATCCTTTTCACCGAAAATGCAGCAACACAACCTCGAACCTGCTCCGAGACACAAAACTGAGCAGCATGGACCCTGGCCGCGCGCAAAAGGATTTTATGAGGGCAACAACTGTACGAACTGCAGGGATCATGCACCGTGAACCAGGGACGACGACTTGAGACCGTGAACACTATACTGCTTAATTAGCGTTAATCATCCGGTATTCCGGAATTCCGTCAAGCCATTAAGAAGCTCTCGACTCGCTGTCGTTCCGGTGGTGCAGTGGTTTACCACTATTGATGTCGCAAGTTAGGTCCCCAAGCGAGTCAAATTCGACTCGCTATTGTCGTTTATGCAGTCTCGATCGACTGCCATACTATCCATGTTTCCTCGGGCCTCGTAATAAGTCTCGAATTCGCTAGGGAACTCGGCGTCGTAGTTCTGTTGCTCGCGAGCGTTATGGCTCGCCCGATCGGGGGTAGAATCGGCAGCATCGGTCGCGATCACCGTCTTCCTACGCGGCTCATAGTCCTCTACCACGTCTGGGACATCCTGAGTCAGCATAATCGATGGCTCCAATGTATCGTCCGCCAGCGAATATCCCAACCAGCACACCCTGTAATGCTTCTCGACATGGTTCTTCGTGGGCGCCGAGTCATTACTCGGCGCCTGGGGCTTGTGATCCTCGTGATCGACAATTCGATCAACGATCTAGCGGCGCGCGTCGATGCATCAACTAAGGGTGGAGGAGCATCACGACGGAAGACCTCTGGCGATGAGCGCCGATTCTCGTAATCGGGCGCCTGTACAGTCGAATGATGAGCTGCGCCTACTCCGCGCTGAAGCCGAGGAGTCGAAGAATGCCCTACTTGATGCTTGCGAGATGGCTGAGAGAGCTCAAGATCGTGCGGATGCTGCGACTGAGGCTGCTGAGCGGACTCGACGTGAGCAGCTGGTACTGGTTGAGCGCCTACGTCATCTTGAGACGACTGCGTTCGGAGGACCCCAGCAGATCGAGTCTGCACGCGTTCGGGCAGGACTAGGTCCCAGTCGTCGACAGCGTCGTCTTCAAGGGATGTCGGACTTTGAGATGGCACAGAAGAGCGGGGAAGATTCGAAGGTAGATCCGCCGGAAGGTAAGCCTTGAGGCACCCGACGTTCTACGTCGGGTGCAAACGCATAGATATAGGTATATCTAGCGTGTAAGCGTCGCCATGCACCTTAACAACCCGAAATGGGATGGGTCATTATATCTTGGCGCTAACTTATTAGCGCCCAAAATACGCCACTGAAGTGTACGATAATCCACTTGTTGATAATAATACTCTGTCACCTTCTCGAAATGTCAACATATTCTTTCGACCTCTTCTGTCTGCATTCTCCTTTGCTTATCGACTGTCTCTTGTAATGCATCACGCACAAACGCGTGATTCCTTGTCGTAATAGCAAAAAATCGGTTACTGCAGCCGAACTTACAAGCGACGTATTCTCTTTTGAGTCAAAACTAGCAACGGGCGATGCGATTAAATTTATCGTGTCAGGAATCGATATGCCAGCAGGAGTTGAATCGACAGCAACCTTATTCTCATCGTGATCAATCATCAATAGTTTCGGCGCAATTTTAAAGGTAGATAATTCCTTACCAAGCTGTTAGACTGGGTGCTCTAAAGATGAAAAAGCAAGAAGCGCCGTAACGCGAGGATGCCTCGAGTTGTTCACGAAAAAGAGGGTCAACCCGGTTGACGCATGGACAGCATTGTTGATTGCAAACTTTGCAAGTGGAAGAAACGAACTCCATGACGAAAGCGATGTTTTATAACTGCGCAAGACATCTTCTAGAACTCTGTTCACGCACTCCTTTTGCCCATCCGTCTCTGGATGGGCCGCCGTAGACAAAAGCAACCGCGTGCTAATAGCTGGAATAATTCGACCCAGAAAGACGAAACGAAACGTGGGCCACGGCCGGATCAATAGAATCTGGCAAGTCATGATGGGCCTGAAGATAAGATCAGTGAAGATCTTCTCTGTCGTCATCGCCGTAATGTGAGCGAAGACTGGAGAAAAATGCATCATTTCGCTATATCGATGATACGCCCGTGCTATTATGTCTATCCGGTAGAATTCCAACGATAAAATTCATACTGACCGAGCGCCAGGCTTCCGTAGCAATAGGAAGCGGACGCAATGGGGCTTGTGAAGACGGGGCGGGCTTCACACGCTGACAGGTTTTACAGGAGCGCACCATTTCTGGATGTAATTATACATTCGCGGCCAGAAAAATACGCGAGAAATAGCTGCAAACGTCTTCTCGCGACCCAGGTGTCCGCCAGCTGGGCTGTCGTGAAATTCATGAACCAATCGGGCTCGAAGGTCGTCATCAGCAGGGATGACGACACGCGGGGAATCAAAGACGTCCATCGTGTACGTCAGCAACGGACCGTCAAGCGCGTAACGCTTGATGTTGTCGCGTGTTGGTTTCGTCAACTTCGCGAGTAATTTTTCGCTCGGGTCCCTGAGATAATTGATGATTCCTGCATAGAAGGAATCATTCGCGTAGGATTCAGCGATCTGAGTTCGTATCGATAGCACGAGTGTCGAACTCATCGCATTGATCCTTAACTTAATACAACACGCACAAATATCATCGTCGTCATCAACATACCCTATTTGATGACCTATGTCGCGCCGAGAATCGTAATCAGGACGACGAGATAGCGCGTCAGCGAGAATGTTATTCTTGCCAGGCTTGTAATGCACCACATAATTATACTCGGCAAAAATGACAACCACCGTGCCATACGATGGGACAAGTGAGGACTCTTGAAGGCGGTACGCAATGATGCGTGATCTGTGTAGATTGAAAATATCTATTCTCCGAGCAAATATACTCTAAACTTGATTAGCGCGTAGCGCATAGCCAAAAGTTCCTTGTCGTGTACCGGATAATTTTTCTCGGCAGGTTTCATCTGTCGTGATTGAAAACTCACGACGCGCTCTCGACCCTCGTCATCGAATTGCATGAGGGCACATCCTGCTCGAGTCAAATACAACGAGAAATGGCTTGGAATCATCAGGTAGCATCAGCACATGTGCTTCGGACAAGCCCTTATTCACGGAGTCGAAGTCAGATTGATG